CTCTCCTGCATGGCTTGTTCGTATTCATATTCAAATTCAAAGAGCTTTATTCACATAACCAATGAATTATAGTGTTGCCAGAACAGAAACAATTAACAAAACAGACATTTACAGTGTACAGACCTGCAGATATTCACAGTACAAATATTTACAGTGCATGCATCCCATAAACCATAAAACATTATTGTGAGACAGGCTTACTCTCTGTTCTTCAGGCTGTGATAGGAGATCTCATACTGGACTGCCAGTTTTGCTGATTTTCCTCCCCCAATAGCGGTTCTGATTCTGGCAGGTGTGGGAATTCTATGATTAGATTTGTTATTTTAGGGAAGAATGTTTGTCTAATCTCAGAGAACTTCTCACAGTGTAGCAGAAAGTGCATCTCTGTCTCCATTTCTCCCTGCTGGCAACAGCCTGTCCTTTCTGTGCAGCCACTTTCTATGGCCGCACTATGGTCAACAAGCTTGTACTTTGTCAAGGTGTTTCTCTTTGCTGTTATTTGTCCCGGTCAGATACTTAATATTGTTTTCACTTTTGTGTTGTTTTTGTGTGTGTATTCCAGTGGGTAATGTAGTGTTGTTTAGTTTTGCTGTAATTTTGGTTGACTGTGATTTGTGTTGTTTTAGTTTTGCTGTCCTGAGATTGGCAAGGGCTAGCTGGCTAAGGGAGGTGGCAATGCTCTCTCCTTTGGTTTATGTTTTTCACTGCATGTGGAGAATGTTTTACAGAAGTTTGTGTGCTGGACTTCTACAGGATGGTGTTTGCCCCATTAGTCTAATCTCGGTTTTTGTTTGGACCCCACACTTCATTGCTTCATAGGTCAATGAGTAGGGTTACATTTTCCCTGAGATCTGGCTTCCTTCTGGAAAAAGAAATTGTCCATATTGTCAGTACCCAGGTCTGACACTACTGCTCCAGCAATCACAGGCTCTGCAGCAGCCCCTGTTCAGTTGTGTAGAGTGACGCCAGGTGCTGCAGACTATTTAACAGTACTAGCTCATCAATATAGATATTGAACAGTGCTGGGCTCAGGTTGCAGCCCTGTCTCACCACACAATCCAGAGTTAAAAATTCAGTTATTTTGTTTTCGATTTTCAATGTGAACCTGTTCTCTTAATACACTAACTTTACCTCCTACACCATTTCAAAGATATTTGGTAAAAGCCCTTTGTGCCAAATTGAATCAAATGTTTTTTTTAAATTAGTAATATGGGCTATTTTTTGTCTGTCCTTTTTTGGTGCACATGTTTATATATAAGTGTGTGTAAGGTGTAAATGTGATCAGATGTGTGGCAGTTTGTTAGCAAGCCAATCTGGTCTGGACACTGTTAGGTGAGGAAGGCCAGAATTCAAGCATTCATGACACTACAGAATGCAATACCTTCCCCAGATTACTGTTTACACAGGGTCAAGTCTGTCTTCTCCACTTTTATAGATCAGTCTTTGATTCCAGAACTCAGGGAAACATCTGACTCTCAGTTTGAGATTGAAGGCTTGCTGCAACTTTGAGGTGCTTTATTTCAGTATCTCATTGTTGACTCCATCTTGGCCACAGGCCTTTTGTGGCTTATCCTCTTGTCGGTGTAAAGGATCCAGCTTCCACCTCTGAGGCAGTATTTGGAATGCGTGAGTTTATTAGCCACTTATGGATTGCTAGTGATCTCTTCCATGGCAGCAGGATTACAGGAGTAACCCAATGAAATAATTTTAGCAGAGCCATCATTAATTTCTCAGTGTTCTCTCACAGTTCTTTTCTTAGTGGTTAAAAAAAAACCTTTCAGGAGGTTGAAAGGGACTGATACTAAATTACATCTGTAGCAAAGTCTTCTTTGAAGAGATTGATTCTTCGATAGGTGCAGCAAGAAGTTTGGGAACTGATTTGCTTTAGGGTGTGGTTCTGTGTCAGGATGAGTGGAGGCTTTGTAAAATGAGGATGTAGGTTTCCTGTTTTTACATGGAACTGGCATTGTTTTATCTTTCTGTTGAAACCACAACAACAAAAGAAACTTGTGTCATATTGCTCTTTAGCTTGTTGCACCATTACATTAATGCCAGTAAATGCATTGGACTTTATCTGCATATCAGTAAATTGTTTTTGAATTTCAAATAGGCTATATTTATAACTCTTACTATTACTATGCAATTGCAAAACCTGAGACTATAGGAGGTCAATATGGATCTTTATGAGTGGGTGTCAGCTGCATTGTTTAAAACTAACCAACCATAAAGTACTTTCCTCATTCCATTCCACAATATTCCATCTGTGAAGCTATGAAATAATCTTAGGTCATAAATTTGATATTACATTTAATAAAGACAACCAAAGGCATAAATCAGAAGAAAATAATTCCTCTCAAATAAGAATATGATGCTGTCTCCACTGTAATTCTGTACCACTGTTGTGTGCTTTGGTGGCTCTGTGGCCATTTTATGATCTAATATGGTAAACAAACTCAAAATGTATCAACTCCCGTTTCTTTTCCACAGTTGGAGTATTGGGTTTTGAATGTGGAACTCCAGAATCATTGTTATAATCCTTACATGCATTTAAAGCCTTGTAAAAAGAATTATGATTAATACTGGTCTTTATTCATTCTGACTTTTTTAATTAGCTCCATTTTTAATTCAGCCAGGAAATTAAAAGTCTCCAAAATATCTAAGAAAAATTAAATGTGAGCATGTGGAAATGTTCTTGTAGTCAATATACGCCATTTTATAATCCCACAGTCTCCTGCTCTTTCTTTAGTACTACAAACTAAATAAGCTGCTTAGCAGATTTGATATTAGCTCAGTGTTAGAGTATTTGCCATTTGAGAACCTTCATAAAGCTTTGGAAGAGATAAATACAACTTAAGAGTGTAGTCATGACACTTTCAGGAAGCATTAATATAAGTTATGAACTCATCCTATACCACACTTTCAAAGCAGAATACAAATAGAAGAAAATAGTTAATATACAATAAACTTTAATGGGTTATGATTGCATAACTAATTCAAACCTAAATTAATGCAAACAATACCTTAATTACAACACAGTTGACTGGCCTCTCTCTATATGCAATAATAACATTGAATATCTCAATGAGTAGAATCTATTCAATCTTCAAGAAATGAAAGGTGCATCACATCACACAGAACTGAGCAGCTGGTCAAGGAGGAAACTGGTCAGGGGGAGATGACACTGTGAGGCCCATAACTTTGAAAGATCTAAAGAGTTAAGCTGAGAAAATGTGCACCAGTCAACAATATCCTTTTGCTCCATAAAGCTGGCCAGCAGGGAAGAGTAGAAAACATACTTCATATCCCACATGAAGATTGCAACAAAGCACCTGAGTGATCCTGAAAATGTGGAAAAATATTTTGTGGTCAGATGGAACTGACACAACACAGCATGTCTACCAGTCAACAGCATTCCTAAAGGCAAGCATGGTGGTGCAGCATTGTGCCATGAGCATGCTTCTCATCAGCAGGAAGCATACTCATAGTTTGATGGTGTCAAACTAGAAAGCGTGTGAGGAATGAAGGAAAAATGGACAGAATGAAGTACTGTAAGGGCAAAAAGGAGAGGCAAATCTGTTTCAGTCTGCTAAAGACTCAAAACTGGGGTCACAACTCACCTTTCTGTAGGACAATGATGTGAAGCACAAAGCCAAAACTAAGCTAGAGTGGCTTAAGAATAAGAAACTGAATGTCCTTGAGTGGCTTAGGACTTGAATCCTACTGAGAATCTGTGAAAATACTTGAAAACTGGTGTTTATAAGTGATTCCCAAGCCAATTCAGAGAGCTTTAGAAAATCTGCCAAGAATAAAGGGCAGGAATTAAAGAAAACCAGTGTGCAAAGTTGGTAGAGACTTACCGAAAAAGACTTTTGTCTGTAATTGCTGCCAAAGGTGCTTTCACCAAATATTGATTTCACAGGTCAGAGGACTTATGCAAACAACATATTTCATTTCTTGGCTGGCATTTACTGTAACTTATCTTACCCAAAGAAATCTTTAGTTTGAGTATTCAGGTTTTAAAAATGTGTATGCATTATTTTGTAATTTCACAAAATGGAACACCCTAGGAATTGTCTGAATACTTTTGTAAGACACTATATACAGTACTCAAGCTGTGCAGTCCATGGGAGAGTGAACGTGCTCCAGGCTTCGTTTTTAACAGTGCTTTAAATGGGCCTGTGAAGTACTTGTGTCTGCAGCTTAAAATGGAAAAGAAAACAGTAAGGATGTATGTGTTCACTATCATGTACAGTGGGCTATGGTTCTGGTTGTAAAGTGTAATTGAAAAAGGGTATGTTTCCCAAGTGATATCATTTGTATAGATCTGAAAGCCAATTTTCTCTGTGCTACTGACTCCTGCTGCAGTCTGGTCCCTCTCCTGTACCACTCACCACATATTTAGCACAGGAATTTAGTTCTGGCTGTTCAAATACATGTGAATTTATTTATGTGCTTCTCAAAGGTTTCTGTTATGTTCACAATACTCATCTGTGGCTTAATTTAGTGTTCCTTCCTTGTACTGGAATGGTTGCTCACAGGAAGCAGCTGTACATCTAAGCTCCGTGGTGCCTATACTTGTGAATTACTTGCAGATACCATCTGCACAAATCTATAACGAAGAGGCGTAACTGGGAAAGAATGCTTTGTGACTGAAAAATAACAAACATGGTGCTAATCAGAACTAGAAGTAAATTGGTCTTATCTACTCTTACTTCTGTTTTTTCATCTAAAATTAGTGTTAAGAGATTAAGCTTTTATAAAATACTGCACAAAAGCTAGTAAATATTTGGAAAGATCATTTGGCTTGTGTCCTAGGAGAATCAGTCTGAATGCTGTGTATACATTCTTACAAAAAATCAGTAGCAACTGTCATGCTACTCATTCAGTTTAATCTCGAGCTTTACATGTTAACATGCTTTCTAGTGTGAAATTCTCTGTGTTGAGATGCAGGTATGAATCCCACAGCATCTGGGACTGTTTCCTCTTTTGTTTCGGCTCAGATGGGAGTTCACTGCATGGACTCAGTGCTCAGCTACATGTGGGGTAGGGATCCAGACCAGGAATGTGGACTGCTTGCAGGTGCTGTCACTGGACCCAGTGGAGACCAGCAGCGTTGCTGAGAGTGAGTGCCAGGACATCAGGCCACCTGCGGTACAAGCGTGTAACCAGTTCGACTGCCCACCTTCCTGGTACACTGAGGATTGGCAAGAGGTGAGGTTCTTAAAGCAGAACTCATCCCAGCAGAGGAGCAGACCAAGCAAATAGACATCTGACTGGATGTGAAATTAACTGTGATTTTGTAAACTCTGTTTGGCCAGAAGAGAAATGTCTTTGACTGATGATTTTTACTTAAACTGTTTCTTGGCATTCTGCTCCTTTTAATTTGTCTTGCTTCATCTTTGTGTGGTTAAAAAAAAGCCACAGATAACTTCCTCTTGTGATGCTATTTATTTTCTAAGGATCCTGATTTTATTTAAGTGGATTTTTATTTCTTTTGGTAGAACATTAGTTATTTTTGTCGTTATAATGATGTGCTGTTCTTGAAAAACCTAGATTTTGAAAGCTACAAAATCAAACAGCTTTGTGCATGGATACAGCAATCGACGCAATAAGCTGCAATAAAAATGCATTTCAAAAAGGCTCATTGAAAAGTAGAAGTGTGAAGTCTTGGTTCTGATTGGGCCTGTCCCTTAGTGCTCTCACAGCTGTGGAGGGGGTACCCAGTCCCGCAAAGTTCACTGCAAACAGCTGCTGTCAGATGGCCGCTTCCTCAAGCTCTCAGACGAGTTCTGTGTGGAACCCAAGCCTGCTGTTCACATGTCCTGTGCTAGAGTGGACTGCCCTCTGGAGCTGAGTGCTGGAGAGTGGTCTAAGGTGAGCAACGTGCCTGAGGGACAGAAGGATTGCTGTAGGGAAGAAAAATGACAATTACAGGAGCTAATAGGAACGATATGTCCATGCTTTCTTTTGTTTTTACATTTGTACTAATGAAAATCACACTACCTTTGTGTAAAGTGCTATACTCTCTGCAGAACTGATATTTGGCTTGTGCTGTCTGCTTTAGAAAGCTGCACAGTGGCTGAAGATGACATTCTTATTTTCCTCGGCAGTGTTCTGTCAGCTGTGGAACTGGAGTCCAGCGGAGGGAGCTACTCTGTCGCAGGCTTACAGCCACAGGCCAGCAGGTCACGTTAAACATGCCAGTGTGCAGCGGCCTCTCTGTTCCACCTCTCGTCAGAGCCTGTCGCATGAACCCCTGCACCAGTAAGCCTCTATCTTGACCCCTACATAACCTGCATTTTCATGTGCTGCCTGTGCTTATAGAAACGAAATGGCGTCAGTAATGGAAATGACAGGTCACTAAAGCAGAAAGAGAATTTACTAATAAGTTCTCTTTTGGAGGAGTCAAAATGTATTTTGAGTCACTGTTTATATATTAATAACGAAAAAGCCTTAATTGCAAAGTACGTAAAGATGCAATACTGCATGTGAAATTATTGGTTTCCTAATTTGTAAAGGAATACGTTAGTGAAATGCCTTAATGTCTTGTAAGCTGTGAACCTGTTCACTCACGATCAACCTTTCTGAAGTATGATTTTCTGATGTCCTGGGTACATTATAAAAATATGAGATTTCATTTCTTGGCACCTATTTAACAAGCAGTTAAGTCATGTTTTAGGATTGGATTATATCAAATATACTTTATGGAGTGATCAAGTTTTTTTTATTTTAATTAGTTTAGCCACCGTTTCAAAGTTTAAATAACATTAAAAAACAGCTTTAAGATCATATTTTCCATATGTGAACTGATTACATTTTTAAGTTTACATTTTTCTTTTAGATTTGCTGTAACGAAAGCAAGTTTTTCAAATTGGCAAGTTTTTTGTTAATTGAATTACTTGTTTTTTTGTGTGCAAGTTTTGCTTTCTTTGCTTTCTTGGACAAGAAGTTAGGTTTTACAAGCCAAATGTCTGAGTTCCACAGTTTACTTGAAAGTGATTCTATCGAGATTAGAGAATGTCCTTGGCCTTGTGTTAAATACAATATTACATGTTAAAGAGTTATCTGATTTTAATTAGCAGTGGAATGCTGAATCATCAAGTAGCCCTTAACTGAACTCTGTAGTTCAGCCTAGATATTTTCTGAGGGTGTGACACTTCAGAAAATAATGCTATCACTGTCTGTGAAGCAACCTATCACACCACAGGATCACAGAATTGTCATGTTATGGTTGGATGTAACATGTCCTCTGGCCTTTGATAATTATGCTCTCATGGTCAAGGCAGATTCAGTGATGAACAGCTCTTAATCGTGCTCAGACTACATTTAGTTCACATGCCTCTGAGCCTTAAAATAAGCTAAAGCAGATTAGGTTGTTTAAGATTTTTTAAATGTTAATGAAACGGGGCAGCTAATTTTTATTGTGGCCAAGGTTTGCTGCCCAAATTAATCATATGTAACAGCATCACTTCAAAAGAATTTTGATCATCATCAAACACAAGCTGTACAAACGAATAACTGTTTTTTAAAAAATGCCTTTCTCTGTGTAGAGCACAAGAAGGAAATGAAACCCAAGCCGGCCCAGAAACGAGGCCCTCAGATCCTCGGCCTTCATCGTGTCTACATACAGACCCGGCAGGAGAAACGCATCCACTTCACCATTGGGGGGCGGGCTTATCTTCTCCCCAAGACCTCGGTGGTAATCCGCTGCCCAGTTAGGAGGTTCCTGAAAACTCTCATCAGGTGGGAGAAGGATGGACATGCCCTCTCCAATGGCAAGCGTCTAGGAGTCACCAAGTCTGGCTCTCTGAAGATCCACAGTCTGGAGGCTGGTGACATAGGGGTTTACCGGTGTATTGCTGGAGTGGCAAAAGAAACTTTCGTCCTGAAGCTGATTGGGAATGACAACCGGCTGATAGAGCCTCCCAACAGGGGGACTGTGAAAATGGAACACAACGGCGCATCTGTGAAGGCGGACCAGAATGAAGCCAGTCGCCTGGAGGAGAAATGGAACAGAATGACCAAGGTGTGGCAGAGTTGGAGTGAAAAGAATGAATTTTACCTGGATGACAGCCAAGCCCAAGAGCGGGCTTTCCTTCAGGTTCTTGGTAATTACTTGACACATTCAGAGGGGTCCTACCACCCCCTGATGCTTCCTGACCAACGCCTAGAGGAGGCAATTCTTCAGGGTGCCTACAGTCTAGATCCTGGGCAGTTTGAGGAGCTTGTGAGGAATATCAGTGAGCTTGCTAAGAACGGAGAGGTGACCGATGACCTGGCCTCACAGCTCATATACAAGTTCATGGCTGAAGTGTCCAGACCTCAGTCCAGTACTGAGAAGTGGAAAGGACCTGTGGAAGAGAACACTTCCAAAACTAAGCTTGTTGACAAGACACCTAATTCATCAGAGCGCGTCCATGACAAAGACACAGACTCACAGTTAATAAAGCAGAAAAAGCCCAACATTATCAGGCAAAAACAGAATCCTTTAATGACATTCCAGAAGACTATCAATATAAGCATTGGTAGGGCTGCATTTTTGACAAATTCCACACAAAGTGTATATATGCTGTGTTCAGCTCTTGGAATACCGGAACCAAAGATTTCTTGGACAAAGGATGGAGCACCATTGCATTTTTCAGAGAGGTAAATGGTTTGGTTCCATTTTTATAAGAATTGGTTTAGTAGAACCTTGTTATTTTGAAGAGTTTCAATGACCTTCATCAAAAATTGATAATGGTTCAACAGTGGTTTCATTTTAAGCAAGTAAGACTGAAAGAGGAAAGATACTATTAGATTCTAGGCTAAATAGTGGAATTCTTACTTTTCATTGACCGTGCTCAGTTGTTGTTACCGTAGTTTCACTGTTAATTATCTTGGTATTATACCTGATTTGGAACTTTTTAACATGCCCACGGACTGTAGTCATAACACTGAAGTGTGAAATCCCTGGCATTACTGCATGTTTGCTTTCACCCTTTGCCTCTGGAAATTGTGAAATACTTGTGCTAATTCAAAATAATAAATCAGTCATTGTCTATATATTCTAATTGCACAGCTCTATAAATACTACTGTATATATCACTAGTTTGGATTTTGACAGGAGTTTTCCGGGCTTGCTCTTTCCAGGCTCGTGTAAAACACTAATTCCCTCCTTCCGAATATCCCTCAGTTAAAGTGACCAAGGTCAGGTTTGTTTAACACTGAGATTCGGGAAAGGAGGGTGAATCAGGAAGAATAGGGTTTACTTTCTATGTAAAGAAATGAAGGATTCTGCCAAATGTAGATGTCATTGAGAACATCATCCTTATGTTAAGGTTTTTATGAGCAGTAGAGTAGGATCAGAGTTATCTGTGTGGCTTTTCCTTTTAATGTGTAAAACAGGGCTGTATATTTTAATGGCAAAAAGTCTATGTTATATGTACTTTGCCATATTCATACTGATGTTTTGAAAACGTAAGGTCCTTTTTTTATTTAAAAAAAATGTACAGCCATTTTCGCAAGGAATACTAACAACTGCAATATATGTTTTACGATTTACCTACCTTTCAATCTGCTTTGATCTTGTCATGTCTGCTTTCCGTTGCAAAACACCATAACATAGGAAGATGTGTAACTTTCATTTTGCATAGCTCTCCTCAGGGGGCGAAACTGAGAGCAGTCCTTGGTTTCTTTCACAGGTCTCTCACGATTCTTTGGCTCTGACTCGATTTTCTCTGTGAAGGTTCCAAACCCCAATGAGGCTGAATTACTGTTGATTATAAAATATTGTCCTTGAAAACCCACGCTCAGATCTTTGCAATTATACTTTACTATGAAGTGCCTGCAATTACCTCCACCCAGACAGCCACCAAACATTGTCTTTACTCCTTCCTGCAAGAACTGAGGCAATCATCGCTGTGCAAGCATGATAAAGAGAATTACCTGCTAGGAGTTTCAAAGGCCAAGCAGGCAAAGAATGTAGCAGAGCTGTTTTCTACCTTGTTCACCAGCCTGTCCCTTGTGTCGTCATCCAAATCAACTTTGCAATTTTCCTTATAGTTGCACTAAAGTTTCCTATTGCCCCTTTTTAACAAATCAGGAGAACTCCATGACCTCTGAGCTATATTTTACAGTGCAGGTCTTGTCCCTTTCACAGAGGGTATGAAATGTGAGATCAGGGTAGATGAAGGACCTTAAACTTTCTGTTATGAATTCGGTACCAAAGGGCTGAACTCAATATGTCGTTTTAGGATTTGCAGAATGTTCCCTCTGAATGCTCAGGCTGAAGTTTTAGGAAGCATGTGCTTTACACTGTTAGACACTGTCGCTGAGCTCCCACCGTCTGGACCCCTTTGGAATCTTTGCGTGTCCTCGGATTAGGAAAAGAACTATTAAAGAAAAAAAGATAAAGGCGATACAGAATTATTTGGATACGCCCCAGTGTATTTAATCGATTTCAGGCTTTGCCAACCAAAACATAGCTCTCCTGCGGTGTCCAATAAAATGAAAGGAAAACACTGGCTGCATATTTTGAAAGTCAAAATGCTCCCCAGACTCCACTAGGTTTCATATTGTCCCTGCCAGTCACTTCTCAATGTATCAAATGGTCTCTAATCTCTTTTTTTCATTCATCTAACCTCTTCAGCCTTCAAAAGAGGTTTTGCAGCATTAAGCTCACCAATTAATCCCTTCGTATGACTTAGAAAAGAAAAACATTCATACTCGGTAAATTCTGCCTGAGTAATGAAAGCTATAACACTTTGAGGTGACAGAAAGTTAACATTAATTTTTGTGAAGGAGCCGTAGGCCCTTTTTTGGTGAAATTTGAGCTATTTAAAATTCTTATAATTCTTGCTGCCAGATGTCTCAAACCCAGTTCCTGTTAGGTTCTTAAACTAAGCAGATGAATTTGCCAAATTTGAACAACTGCTTTGCTTTGAAAATGTATTGTAAACAAAACAAAAAATAGAAGGAGACAGAAAGTAGTTTAGATTCTCAAAGGGTTTTATTTTTCTATCTATTGTGTCATGTTCTGAAACTAGAAACAATTTTAAAACAGATGCTTGGTCTTCCATGAGAAGATGTTGTGCTTACTTGCAAGAAGGAAGCGAGGCAGACTGTAATAGATAACATTGGAAACAGACTTTGCTGCTAAAATGAGTAGGCCTGAGAAATCACATCTGAAATGCAACACACCTGTTTAAAAGCTAAATTCTTCTTTCACTGCCATCCACCTTACATCGTACAAAGTGCTCCTTCAGTGCCCTTGTCATGGCTATAATGTGCAATCTGTTGGAATTAGGATTAAATAAATTAATGTGGAGCTGGATTGAGATGAAATTGACTAGGTTATCATGGGACAATTGAAGTGGCAATTGTATTGGAAGTGGCAGGAGGACGATAGACACAGCTCCTTGAATTAAACTGAGAAGGACCTAAAAGAAACTGTTAAGATACAGCTGCCTGCAGCAGAGGTGTATACATGTAAAAAAGTAGTGTTTCCAAACTTTCTAGACTCATATTCGTCTAAGTCTGATTTTTAAAAGCTTTTTATGCACTCATGTATCAGCACAATACAACATATGGAACTGATCATGATATTGCTCAAGGTATTGTCAGAACAATCTCTAGTTGACTGACCTCCAAAATTGAGTTTTTCCTTTGTGCAAAAGCAACTCACAACATGACTTATTTTAATTTCCTTGATGGTTCTTTCATAATATCATAGGTTTCCTCAGGGAGAGATATTCAGATTTGGGCTGATTGTTTTCTCTTCTCTCTGAGCAAAAGGCCTGAAATCAGGTTCATTGCAGACTTTTGCAAAAGGCTGGTAAAATCTACAGGGGTCTTAGATCCTAGTGTGAGTATTTTACCACCTTCACATAAAGAAGCCCTGTAACATCTCCATTGCGAACATGTGCACAGCACATGAAGCTAGCCCTGGAGCCCTGAGCCTGCTAGCCTGCTGCTGATGTGCGAATTTCTGCACCTCTTCACAAGGTTTTATCCTTTTTTCATATTGCATGCCCTACTCACTGCAGACCAGTTTCCAGATTTGATTTTACAATTCCACACAAAAAAAACAATCCAAGCCAATTCAAGAAAGAAGACAATGACAGATGATTCACAATTATTCTTTTACCAAAAATAAAACATTACCTAAATGCATTAGGGTTGCATTCACTTTACTTGTATGGAATTGACACTGTGTGTGCTCTGTGTGCATTATTAAAGTGATACAGTAGCATGTTTTGTAGTGTGGCATTTTATATCTGATAAATGCCTTGTCATTACATTTGTCCTTCTTATTTCTTTTTTCTTGCACTGATAGATTCATGTTTGATACATCAGGTGTAGTATTTTCTTTAAAAGGATACAAACTTTCTTGGCTTAGGCAGATTCCACTTGTGGTGTACCAGGCTGTCTGAGGACTTTTGTAGTCTTACTGCACTGTGTAGAATCATAAACCCCAGCATGCCTTTAGAGTTGCAAACCACCTTCTGTTCACATTCCTTAATGAGATCATGTGGAATTCCACACTAAAGGACTATTTCTTTTTCTTTTATCAAGGTCTGAAGAAGATTCTTCTGATCAAAAAATAGACAGGAACAAAAATAAATACATGGATTGTCAATTTTTTGCCATCAAATCATTGTTTTAGAATGTGAAGCCTGGGCTGACATTCATCTCTTAGATGCCCATGGTCCTGTGTTTGTTACAGTATCTGGATGCTGTGAACTGAAATCAGGATTTTTGATTTTTAGTTTTTCTGAGCATCCACTGTCTTTGTACCATCATTGAGGAAACCACTGCAGATTTATTAGCCCGATGGAGCAGCGAAAGCTAGGACAAATGGAAAATGTTTCAGCCATCAGTCAAGTCAAAGATAAGCATGCAGTTCTTGCTGCAGACTGTTAATTCATTCAGAATAGTTTATTAGGTTTTCTCATCCACATTGTTCCTCCTTTGGGGGATTCCTGCAAAGCTGTAAAGTGTCAAAGAGTCTTTTTTAGCATGGGGCTTCACAAATAGTTCCAAGTCTTGATCTCATTCTCGAGGGGAAACCCCTAACACGTACAATAGACCAAACATAATAAATACAGTGTATTCATACCTACAAGAATTCGTGTTTAGTCAGGCTTGGAGTCATTAAGTGACTAAGTTAACAGGAAATAGACTTGTGAGAAAGGTTTTTTAGGCTTCTTGGAGAAAATTAAATTGAATAAATTAGTCTGGAGGAATTATTCTGATATATAAACTGTTATACGTTATGTTGGTTTGCTGTTGTTTGCCCTTTTCATGAAACAGCATTGTAGAAATTCTCTCATATTGCAATTAAAGGTTTATTATCCCTCGTAGGAAATTATTTGTACGTCCCAAACAACAATGCAACATAGACGAACATCGCCAACTAAGAATATTGTACAGCAGTATTTCAGGAGATAAGAATTATTTTACATAATATCAATAGATCCTGATGCACACAATTAAGAATCACTGCATAGTGATATCATTTTTTTATTGCATTTCAACAAAGTCATAGCTGCACCTTTTTGTTATACCCTTACAGTGACCAGATTGAATCAGATTCCTCTCAGTGATTCTTTCATCATACAGTATGTGTGCACGCTGTACATGTATACCTTTAACCCAAGCGGACGTGTAGAGTGACTGCTGATGAACTCCAATCCACAGGGTGTCGTGGGACGGCAGTGGACGTTTACACATATCAGACCCTGGAGTGCAGGACAGTGGAGTATATCGGTGTGCAGCCACAAATGAGTTGGGGTCAGATACAGAAACCTCTGAGCTACTCTATGCTGGTAAGGCTATGCCACAGTGACAATAATTTGACAGTGACAATAATTTTTGGTTGGTTGTTCTGTGATATAAGCTGAAACAGCTGAGTAACCACCAAGACATTTTATCATCAAATTGATAGTGCATGTGGACAGATAGATATATACGATAGTTTCTTCATGCACACTTAAGCTGGATGGATTAGACTTGAATATAGTCATAGCTGTGTGTGATCTGCCAAGTCTGTTCTGATGATGTTTGAAATGTACAACTTGACTTTTCATTCTCAAAACAGAGGCCCCTGCGATCCAAGCCTCGGGAAAGAATATTTCAGACCTGGAGAACAAAAGAGTGACAGCTGTGGTCGGGGACAGAGTCAGTGTGAATGCTGGAACTGAAGTCACTCTGGAGTGCCCAGTGACAGGTTGGTGAAAACTGTTTGAAATCCAGCAGCACATGTTGTCTGGAGAAAGTGCAGCTTGTAATAGTTCTGCATCAAAGCTTTATTAAATGCAGTGGCATTGTATTTAAAAAAAAAAACAGCAAGTTTTGAAGAGCACCATTCTAGTAGCAGCAGACACAGGGTGTAAGGTGGGACTGCGTTGATGGCACACTGATACACACTTTAGCAATATACAGACAGAAGTTCACTCAGCTAGCATGTCTTTGGAAAGTAGATGTCAAGATGTCTTAGGAAGGTACAGTAGATATAAATCATATACAATTTTTCAATCTTTAGATGTAAACTACTGCAAAATTCCTTTTAAAGCCCAATGCAAACATTTTTTTTGCAAAAATATTGTACTTTGCATTTGTGAGTTGTCGTTTTTTCCATGAGAGTTAAAGCTTCACAATATCAATTCCTTCTTTATATAAATTAAGTAATTAAGACTGGATTCTGGAAAAAAAAAACAGACATTTGAAACTTTTGACTTATTTTGGTTTCTATGGACTCTTGGATAGTGACAAAGATTTTTCTTTATTAATGATTAATGCCCTCTTATACCTATAACTTTGTGCAAGTTTAAAGTGTGCATACCATAATGGTAACGGTTCCTGTCTAATATGTGGAAATAATGAAGACCATAGCTAATTGGAAAGAAATTGTGTGTAACATCAACATGTCATTTATGGGTTTTATGGATCTTATGGTGAATTTATTTTACCCACATCATTTACAAAAGCAATCTTCCGGAACAAGAGTGTTGACATTTGATTAAAATGGCAGCAAAATAATGTTTTTAGATGGTTTTCAAAGTTAGTTTGGAAAGCGAACTTTTTATATTTCACTTGTCTCTACCTTCAATCACAACATGAGCAAAATACTTTATACAGACGTCCCATGAACATGGTGCCAAGACAGAAATGCTCAGTGCAAGCAGATCGCATGTGCCACAGCTTCATTTTAGCCCATGTGCGCAAAACACCCATATGATACGTAGTGAGGGTTTTCAGTCATATTATTATTTTCCAATTGTAGTGTTATTTAAACTAAAAAATAAACTCTGTATTTAGAGAACAAACTGTTAATGCCACTGTACAAGGAGGGCTAATCCTCAAATAAGCTCTTAAGAATAACTAGAAAAGAACCAGGTCTGCGTGTTTTCCTTAGGTGTTGCGAAACTCTCTCCTGGTACTGAACTGCTCACTACTGTTAGCCTGTTAACCTGTCTGTCCACATCCCCCATTACCAGGGCATCATGTTCTACCAACAGTCTCTCTCCACTGTCCTCTGGAGCAGATGGCCTTCTCAGTCCCAGTGTATCACCCTGCCAAATATCCAGTGGAGAAATGGAAACCACTAAAGTGTATTGAAAATTGGAATAAATGTATCACAGTATTGATTAGAAATAGATTTAGAAATTCTATATGATTACTGTATGTTTCAGTTAAATCGAATGTGACATGGGATAGTATTACGTTTTTTCTGTATGTTTAGCACATCCTTTGCCAGAGAAGCAGGCCTGTGTGACCCCAGCAGCTACTTCAAGTAACATTGCAAAGGTTTTCAAGACATACACATCCGAAAACTGCCTTAAACCAATGGTGTACCATAACCAGGTCAAATAAAGGCTCTGTTTAGATTCTAACAGAAATATTTTTGTTTTTTACAATATGATATAGAAAACAGTGATCATAAAATAGTGCCATCTAAAGCAGAAATAGGTATGCTTTGTTCTTTTTGAGAGAAAATTAGGTGAAGTTTATCTGTAGAAACTGTTTTGAGATATAAGATTCTCTTTCATCTGTAATTCTCTGACATGGTTTGAATTGAGCTCTGTCTCTGTCTTTGCGTCTGGCAACAAGTGAGGTTTGTTAAAGAATACATTTAAATTGACTGGCTGACCATACTCAGTGTTAGAAGAAGCCAGTTTTTCAAGTTTTTGAATGGCTAAAGAATCGGTGTTTCCCCTAACATTATGAAAAGAAAAGGATGATACAACTATGCCCCCTTAGGGCAGTCAGAACACATTGCGTGTGCTATCCCACTGCTGTAATAGTAGCAGCCCACTGTTCTATCATTAAGTTAAGCACAGAAACTATGAACAGCATTAGTTATTTAGTTCTATTTATTCTTTGAGACACAACATTCTAGAGCTACTGTACAGGCACTTTAGCAAAATAATTCATCACTGTACATAATGACTAACCTACAGCAGACCTCATAAACTAGCAAATGTATTTCATTTTGGCAATTTAATTTTCCTAACCTGAAATGTAGGAGTTTCTCAGGGAAGCACGGCTTGGGCTTTGCTGATCCAGCATGTCACTAGTACACTGGTTCTTGGAAAACCTTTATCTGATTACTGTATCTGATGCAGGGTTATCACAATTTATTATTGACTGTGAACAACAACTACTACCACCATTCTGACTATAAGGAAGTGCTTGTCTTGTGTGCGTCTACCTGACATTTTTTACTGTGTCACTGACAACATTTTTATCCCCTTACCATTCATTTTGCAAAAAGCAGAAAAGACTGAATAAGTGTACACTCTTTGCACTTTAAATTTTAGTTAATCACATAGGCAGGATATTGGTGTTTTCTCCAATAAAATGTCTAATGATGGTATGATTAAAATTCTGTGGATTATTTCTGCGACAGATGTTTTCCTACAGTATATAAAATATTTGCACTGAATTAAGCTGAATTAAGCTTTAGCTCTGTGCTGTTGCTCCCTCTGCTATCTAGAGACTTAAGCAGATACAGGCATCACATTTCTTTTCCTGTGCATAGATGATTTGTCATTTAGTTTTTCTTGTACAGAATTAATAAGTACCATATTTTGCAGTTTATTTTCAAAGTTTTGTTCAAATCTTCAAGGGGCTAACAATTTTAAGGCTGTACTTCTGTCACTCCAGGCACATGCAGCAGAGCATGGGTAGGCGTATTGGCTTAGGTAGTAAATGTGCAACTGATTTTCCCAATCTGAGCATCAGTGTGCCTTTAATCAATCTGTAGATCCTCTTATTAATATTTGAGCGGCATAATTAATTAATTACCCTCAAATGTGTTTTGGTGTTACAGGTGTGCCACAACCATCCATAAACTGGCATAAAAATGAAGGAATATTGAATGGGAATGCTTTGCTCCTTCTGAATGGCTCTTTATTGCTTCAGAATGTTTCATTAGAAAATTATGGAACATATTCCTGTGTAGCAGTCAATCCCCTTGGAAAATCCATTGCCTCCAGTTTCCTCCATGTGTCTGGTGAGTTCTGAAGAGCAGTGTGCATCATTTGCTATAAGACATTGTTGTGCTACAGGGCAAACCAGAAACTCTCTTCCAAGCCCAGTTTTACAGCTTTCAGAATGCATTTGAAAATTCCAGTTGCCATCAGCTCAGTTCAATCTGTTATGCTGCAGACAGACATATTAATGCAGTATTGATATTGGCATTAGCAAACATATAAAATACAGAAGTAGACAAAAGTAGTGAATGACAGGAACCAAACCTCTGGTTTGGCAGAAATGAAAATTGGCTCAGTCCAGTCCAAGCAGGGAGGTAAAATCCATCTCACTTTTTATTAAAAATCACATACTTCATTTTGGATATACATTATGAATCTAAAAGCCTTGTGGATATTAAGCAGATTCAATAAAGGCTATTTCCATGGTGGTCTTCAAATGATATACGTTTTTAAACACATTTGTAAGAATTACAAGTTCAGTTTAAAAGCATAAATACCAGTACGGAAACCTATATATAATCGTGCTTGAGTGCTCTGGTGAACACACCTGTCAGCACAAATCTCTAAGCTTTATTGTTTCAGAGCAAAATGTGTTCTTCATTTTCTGAAAGTAATTGTAAAAACTGAAAGAGGCAAATCTAGCAAGTTTTTTCCCTGCTTAAATCTAGTTTTGGAATATTATCTAGTTAATGTGGCATTAGAAATAGCAGAGCAGATTTGAGCTTTTGAGGCTTATCTTGTACGACCTTAGTCTGGAGTCCTCTTTTCTAATGATCATTTTGTGTGATCACTTGCACTCAGGGCGCTCTGTTGAGAGAGGTAAGGGCCAGAGGAGAGTCCAGATGGCTTCTCGTGTTGGATCCAACATTGCTGTGAAGCCTGGGGAACTTCTGCACATAGGTATCACTGTCCATTAAGTCTGTATCCCTGTCAAACAAGTATCTTACAAAATAATTGCATGACTGAGTCAGCACTAAAACAATATACTCTTTGTTTTAAAGTATGACTGTTTAAGAAGTGTAATTACATTCTTATTACATTTAAGAAGAAACAAAGCAGGGAGATACTTGTGTGTGCAAGTATTACTATTATTACTAATTTATTTGTCTGAAACTTGAATTCAAAGTGACTTATATGTGCACTCATTTATACAGCTGACAATTTTCACTTTTACATCATTTCTGAATTAAATTAGAAATCTGTATGTTTCTTTACACATTTGACTATGAAATTCTCTTGATATTTATATTAGTTTTTTTCTCATAAGGCATACAGATGCATGATTTATTGTGTTTTTTATTGTATCTGCAATTTAACTGCAAATGCAGGAGTAAAAGATATAACGCATATTTTAAAAAATATATTACCAAACATTAGTCATTTCTAACGTTGCCCTCAGTCATAAAAATGTCTGAAGTATATTATATGTATGTTTATGGAACTAATAATTAGAACTAAAATAGGATATAATCTTTAGAATTGAACATATCACTCTAACACTAATATATTTTTGTTGATCCTTTTATCCAAATTATACAATTATACAACCCATTTATACAACTAGATATTTCACTGGAGCAATTCAGGAGAAGTGCTGTGCTCAGAGGTACAATAGCAATGTTTCACCAGGGATATGAGGTCACAAGTTTCTGGTTACAAGTCCACTACCCTTTCCACTGCTCCATGCTGCTGCCTGTACCATAGCAGGATAAGCATAATGAGTCCAGCTGAAATGAATAGCTTTTGATAACTTGCAAGTGTTCATTACGTTCATCATTGCTGTTCAGGGTGTCCAGTTCTTCCAAATCACAGAAGAGATGTTTACTGGTTTTTCCAAAACCGGACGCTGAAGGAGTCCCCGAGGCTCCAGTACAGACTCCTGGCTGGGGGACGTGTCCTGGAGGTGAACACAATTGCAGGAGTGTTTAAGGGCCAGTACAGATGTCAGACCACTATCAACTCCCAACAAATTTCTGCTTGGGTCAACATTAATAAAGAAGGTCTGTGTCTATATACTGTATGTATCTGGGTATGACAGTGATTAATGATTGACAATGAAAATACAAATGATTGGGGATAAGATTTACACATAATATTGAATGTGTTGAGGGCGGCACAGTTGCGCCTTCAACACATTAAATATTGTGTTTGTATTGTACTGAGGCCCTGGGTTTAATTCCTGGTGTGCTGTCCTGTATCCGCGTGGGTTTCCTATGAGAGTGCCATTTTCCTCCCACAGTCCAAAGACATACAGTAGGTTAATTGGCTTCTGTTGAAATCAACCCTGATATAAGTGTGTTTTCATCTGTGTGTTCCCCTGCAGTGCACGGGTGTGCTGTCCAGAGTGTATCCCACCTCCTGCCTGTTGCTTGCTAGGATAGGCACTGGCTCCCCCATGACCCTGTATTGGATAAAGCGGTTTGGAAATGGATGGAGATGTATGTCAAAGTCCAACGCATTAAATCTATCCTTCTATCCATGTTCAAACCACTTTAGCCAGCAGGGAATGCTGGATAAAGTGGTTTATCCAGATAAAGTGGATAAAGTGGTTTATACTGTACACGAAAGACAGGATACACCCTGGACTGGATGACAGTGTTTCCATCTCTGTTAGTTTAAATATAATGTAGCCAGCCTGTATCCAGGTGGATATGTAGGTGGTTGTTTTTTTTCATGTTCTGTTAGTTTTTCTCTGTGCTCTGAAAGTGTAATGGCAGCCTCAGTTGTCGGGGAGTGGTGTTCCATGGGTGGACGTTTCCAGTATTGGCTGCTTGTGCTCTGGAGTTCTGAACGCAATCTTGTTTCGCCTCCAAGCAGAGTATCAATGGGGGCCTGGAGGATTGGCTGAGTGCTCTTCTACCTGTGGAAATCGGGGAACCCAGTCACGGCGTCTACTTTGTCTCAGTGCTGGTGGAAGGGAAGTCAACCAGTCAGCCTGCGATCATCTTCCAAGGCCGGCAGCCAGCACTCAGCCTTGTTACATGCAAGACTGCCCTCCGAGGTACAGAGCTACCCTTATGAATTATCACCATCTGGGTTAAAGCTGACCACCGAGACGGGCTGCTTACTGATTGCTAGTGGATTGCATTTCATGAAACTGGCAAAAAGTCTGAGGCTTCATAATAAGCTTTCCCTCTGGAGTATTGGTACAGTAGCTGACCATTTAACTGATAAAAACAAAAAAACAATCAAACACCCCACGTAATACTAAGCCTTCTGTGTAGAAGACCAGTTTGTCCACTCAAGGTTTCAGTAGAGGCAGTGATAATAGCTCACAATCTTATAGCAATATCTTAATTGTGAAGTGTTACATGGTCAGAGTCCACTTCAATTCAGCTATAAGCACTATTTGTATGTTTGTAATACAGAAGTATTGAGCAACCTGTACTTGTATCCACAGGCCCACAGATACTCTGCTCTCACTTTATTGTTGGTGAGCAGTACACCAAATATAATCTACTTCAAAGAGCTAGTCATGTAGCATAAGAAGACTAGAGAGGAATGTGCAGGAAGGGTCAGAAAGCCTCTAGATTCTTTTCTTTTTTTCTTCCTTCTTTTTATACTTTTTAAATCTAAAATCTAAATCTAACTCATTTGACATGGATAGCAATGCCAAAAGCATCATTTTATTGTACCCATGTGCACAACCTAACACATTGCTCTGAATATCAGTTCAGCCTGTGAAACCGCTTAGTATCTTTAAGCAACTCTCCATGGGAGATCTTCACACAATGCTGGTCTTTGTGGCTGCCCCTGTGAGCATTTTAAACCCCTGACTGCTGTGTGCTGATACTGGCTGCCTGAAATGAGGCCCTTCAGCACTGGCTTCCTCAATGTTTTTGGGAGAGGCGGGCTTTTGAACTGTGAAACACGTTGCTGGTGGGGCGCTGAATAGAGATTGTCTTATTCTGTTTAAAGAACAGGACAGAGAAGATGAATAGGAAACCATTAATTAAAAAGAGATTTCTGTTGCCAAAATATGAGCTTCAGAGATGGCCGTGGGTCATTCCTGCAGAATGACCTGCCATTCAGTTCAAATTGCCTTGCTGCCCTCTCTGCATGACATTCTGCGTAACAGGGTTTGCTGTTCCAAAGAAAACAGGTGCAGTTATGGCTCTAAAACTGTAGCATGTCTTATATTACTGGACTCCTGTTCTCCAGTAACATCTGAGAGAACACTTCCCACAGGCAGGTTTTATCTTCTTGGTAAGAATGTCTAGATCCTTGATGTTTCAGACTGCTGTGTTCTAAGTTTGGGCTTTAGGTTGGATGGTCATCCTTGGTTAATAGCAATTAGATGAATGAGGGTGCATGTTCTGACATAGAAGAGCACAAGGCTGCTGTCTGAGTCCAAGGTTGTACTCCCTATTTACTCACGACTGCACAGCAAGACACAGCAACAACCGCATCATTAAGTTTGCCGATGACACCACTATAATAGGACTTATCAGTGATGATGACGAGTCCACTTACAGGGATGAAGTTGTACAGCTGCTTAGGTGGTGTCTTAGCAATAACCTGGACTTGAACATAAAGAAAACGAAAGAGCTAATAGTGGACTTTCGGAGACACAGGCCACACACTCACAGCCCACTCAGTATTGGTGGAACGGAAGTGGAAACAGTCACCAGCTTTAGGTTTTTGGGAATTCACATCTCTAAAGATCTAACCTGGACTGTGAACACTGACTCTATCATGAAGAAGGCTCAGCAGCGCCTTTATTTCTTGAGGTGCCTCAAGCGATGGGGGATGCCAATACATGTGTTGGTGAACTTCTACCGCTGCACTATCGAGAGCGTCCTCACCAACGGGATCACCGTGTGGTATGGCAACACCTCTTCGCGAGAAAGAAAGGCACTGCAGAGAATGGTCAATATGGCCCAGAAGATCATCGGCTGCGGTCTCACCGAGATTAAACAGCTCTATGAGGACCGCTGCCGTGGTAGAATTCTGGCCATCACAGAGGACAGTCACCACCCCGGGCATGAGCTCTTCACCCCACTGCCCTCAGGCAAGAGATATAAGAGCATACGGACACTTACCACTAGATTCTTCAATAGCTTCTATCCACATGCAGTGAGACTGGCGAACACATTAAGCCATCCCCCTCGGACCACACCTACACCATCACCATCTACCTCATTGTAATTTATTTATTTATTGTACGTCTCCAGTCATTGTTTACACGTCTGTATTGTTTACATTCAAACTGTCTGCATGTTTACTTGCACATTGTCTATTGTTTGTTTGTACATTGTCTTGATGCACTGTTTGCACTTTGTTTTGTTTTTTTTACACTTGTTTTACAATTGAGAGACTTTCTGTAAGTAAGAATTCCATTGTACCAGCACCGGTTACATATGGCAATAAAGTTCAAGTCAAGTCATATTGCCTGCATTAACAAAAGTCAAGTTATCCAGTTTCAATACCAGGCTGGAAGGATATAAAAACATCAAACTCTCAAGCATTGTGCACAGAACCATTAAGAATCCCACCTCTTAGCTGTGATGTTAATGGTATCTGCTGCCTTCACTGATTTTCTTTTTTGTAACATAATATATCAAGCAAGACAAGTCAACATTTTTACTTTGCATGTTCTAAATGTCAGTTTTCATAATCCATATTAAATCCACAGGAATCTCCCTGCTGGATTAGATTAGACTCCTGTTGGATTCCACATGCAGTTTGATGCTGCAGTCTTGTTCATTTCCAGCTGGGTGGCCACTGTGTGGTCTAAGTGCTCCGCTTCCTGTGGCAGAGGCTCAAGGCATCGGCAAGTTTCCTGTCAGCAGGTGATGGCCCATGGGAATGTGAGGATTCTGCCAGCATCAGCCTGCGTGAGAGAGGAACGGCTGACCGACAGTGAAGAGTGCCTGGCAGACTCGTGTGTTCAGTGGGTGGTGAAGTCATGGGGTCAGGTAAGGTTCATTATTCCACTAATATTAATAAAAATATGAATAACTGGTGATATGTAATATAGGTAAATACATAAAATACAAAATATGTCCATATCTTTTACGTGCATGCTATCATATAACTAAACCTGGGGCACAGCAGGGTTTTGAAATGTTCTTTCCTCATAAGCTCCTAATGAAGTTATTGCAAAATGTATTGACTTAATTAGCATGTATTAGTACTATTAGTAGCGCTGTAGCTATTGAGCATTTTAAAGTGACGTACTGCAGCTTTTCAGCGAGCTTTATTATTTTATGTTCTTGTGCAGCCCCTGTGCTTGTCACAGACAGTTCTTGTTCTTGTGCTGCTCCTGTGCCTGTCACAGACAGTTTTTGTTCTTGTTGCAGTGCTCAGGCCGATGTCTAGGCCCAGCCCTCACTGTGCAGCGGCGCACAGTGGTGTGTCAGCATGAGAACGGTTCTGCTATCCCAGAATCCCACTGTGATGCAAGAGAGAGGTACCATTGCACAATTTTGAATCAATTTAAACACTTTAAACAACTTAAGTAACAGAGGTGAAAGGTTGGACTTCAATCACAAGTTTTGATTCATGGATAATTGTTTTCTACAAATGATTTGTGTAAGATATGAGATAGAAGACAACATTTAAGTAAATTAAGACTTAGAAAACCATTTAAATTTTAGTGTTGTTTATCAGTGCTTAACTTAGCCAGCTTTGTTACAACAATTTTAAGTTACAATATTTTTTTTTCTTTCTGCAGTATGAGTTGTATTGTATGGATATTCCAATGAAGTATAATAATATTTTTATAAGGTTATATTTCCACTTTAATTTTGCAAACCATTTTTGTTAGGAAAATGAAACATTTACATAAAAAATGCTTACTTGAGAAGAAATAGAACCACTTTTCTTACTTTGTTTGCAATGCCTGCACTCTGATTCTATTGGTATTTGAACACCAAACTTCAGTTCTCTCCTTTGTTTCCAAACTTGCCATTTACTGTCTCCTAGAGGACACATGTGGAACTAAAATTCTAACAGCTGTAACCCAGGTAGGGGTAGCTGAAGCTTTCTAAAGCTTTCTTTTTTTTCTTTCTTGGGCTAGCTAAAGGGAACATGTAATCTGAGGTTGAGTTAAGAACAATTTCTAAAGCAGAAGAGTGTCTTCTGTAACCTTTCAGGCCCGTCTCTGTGCAAACCTGTCCCTCAGAGATGTGTAATGTTCAGTGGAGGGCTGGGGCGTGGAGGCCCTGCACTGCGGCCTGTGGCAGTGGGTTCCAGTCCCGCAGAGTGGAGTGTGTTCATAAGAAGAACAACAAAACCCTGGCAGACCAGCATTGTGCCTGGCAGAAGCGTCCAATCACTTGGCAGCACTGCAACGCAACTTCCTGTGGCAGTAAGTCCTCACACTTCGTCTCCTTCTAATACACTTAGAGAGCAGCACTATTACACAGTCATTTGCCCTGCGATTTTAATTACTTTGTTGAAGCGCTACGGGAGGCAGATTTTTGTCTGTATCTGCTCATCATAATAATTAAGTTTGAAAAAGGGACTTATGATCCTAACAGATTGAAATTGTGAAAAATTTGCTGCAAAATATAATTCAGCTTTTTATGTGTAATGGAATCCCTCATGGTGCTAAGTCTGATTACAATAATAAATATAATTTAGACATGTAACTAGTCTCACACTTGTTATTTAATAAGATCTGGCAGAAAGCTGCAGTGTTTTTCTAGTGCAAATCAGTAACTGAATTTGGAGACTTGGTTGTGCCTCTGTTTCACTGTACAAAAAACACACTGTATGTCAGAAAGCTGTTCTCTTCTGTTAATTTAGCCAAATAGTTTAAATATTGAACAAGTGTTTCGAAGAGACAAAATATCTAAAATGTAACTGTTGAAATATGGCTGGGTAACTGATCTTTTATACTGTTTAAGTGGTTGGTTTATGTTCTTTAACAGTACATGTTACTGTCCTAGGAGGCAAAAACAAAGCAAACAGGTTTGAGAGCTTTTACAGACACTGCATTTAGAGTGATTCCCCTTCCTAAGTAAATAACTTAATTCTTCCAGTAGGAGTCGTGGATTTATGGCCTTAGTGTCTGATTGTTTTTTCTCTTCTTTTTAAGGAGGTGAATGCAAAGATACAACCCATTACTGTGCTGTTGTAAAGCAACTCAAGTTATGTCTCATAGATATTTACAAGCAAAGATGCTGTGAGTCTTGCCGGGAAGCATAAGCCACCTGAGCTCATCAGTGATAGGGGAATCTACAAATGGACAAGGTGGATCAGAATGGTGCACAAAAACATAAACTGCAGAAACGAATGCAACTGAAATCATAGACGTACTGGACAATTCATGTTTTTTGAGGGGCAAACTATTTCAAATAAAGACTTCAATAATGTACTGGAAAATCTCTACTGTTGCACAAATGCTTCGACACTTCACTGCTTACTAATGAAGAATTCTTCAGCAGACCTGGGCATCCATTACTGGAAGCAGGACTTTAATGAAGAAAATTAAAGGCAAACACAGGACACCCTTCTGCTCTGGACACTTGTATAACATATGGTTGCTGTGTACAGATTTAAACTGACGGATGTTTTCCAAGACTCAGCATCTTTCTGTGCCACAGACAACAGTCTGAAGCAGGGTTGTTTTTTTAGTGTTTGGAATACATTTGTTCAGCACTTTAAAAATGAATAATATAGTGCAACTGACACATACCAAGTAGTGATTCTGAACTGTGCTGTATGCTGCTGTAATAGGTCTTGCCCGATGATTGCTCTGCATTTTCTGAAAGGGAGAGTCAGCAGATTAAGAAAAGTGCAAGACTCACTCTGTGGGTTAAAATGTGATTTGAGCTTAAAATAATGTGTGGTATCTGATGTGAATGGTACACACTGAGAGGAACAGTCGCTTTAGATGACGAACTGCAGTTTTTTCACTTCTGTAAGTTATTTGTGATTATGATTTAAGCACTTCACCTTATAATATCTATAACAGACAGTAGTTACTAAGTACAGTGTTGAATATTTTTATGCTATTTTATTGCTATGCTGTGTATATACTGTATAAGTGATTTGAGAGACATAATAAAAGGCCATTAATGTCTGTTAAGTTTTTAACCTAAAACATTTTAATCTACTCTGTTGTAAGCCAATGTTGTTAATGAGACTGAGAATGAGAATGTGAAGGCTCAGCTCTGAGGATATTCATCAGTCCACACAAAATGTTCCATTACTTTTCCTCTCTTTTCAATGTGTACTTAAAATAATGCAGACTTACTAAATGTGTTAATTAGTAGTAAAAGTGACCTGTGTGTACAGTTTTATTTAAAATATGTAGTATTCAGGACTTAGAAATTAAGTGTAAAATGTATTATTAATGACCATTCACCTGCGTGAAGGCATGGTTGCCATTGGTGTACTAAGGATTGTGATCTAAAGTTCTGAATAATAAGACAATTACATCTCACATTTTATAAAATTGATTAAATCATAACAGAAAAAAAATCACTTAATTTCAGATCTCCATACTATTATTGGGTAAATGTATTTTAGACTGATTTCTATTGTTATTGATGCAGTTGATCACTTACAATGCTTAATAACAGTATTTTGAATAAAAATGACAGAATGATATTTGTAGCTAGTTGTGTCTATATATAAGCATGTCTGGAAAAGTTTTAAGAAGATTTTAAGAAAGGTTCCCCTACAGTGAAGTGCATTACAGTATTTAAATTTGTATTATGGGTATCAAGGGAAGAGATACTGTTTCAGTTGGCACTATAGACACCCGTGGAAAACTTCTTCTGAAGATTACCACAGCCCAACATTTGTGCCTTTAGTTTCCTGAATACTATGATGGGTCTGATTTTGATTCTGTGTTGTGTTTAGCTTTTTGTAATTAATGTAGTGCATTGTAAAATACTGCTTGTATATATTATTGTTTTAAAGTGCAATATTGTACATTGAGTGTAGATTTTTTTAACTTTATTTTCTTACTACCAAAGTTACTGATTTAAGTGTCTTTGTACCTTGTACTTATTTGAATATTACCGCTCCATTTAGCACTTGCTAACATATTTTATTCTTGTGTTTTATTATCATTGTCCTTCTGGTGCATGTAATGGGGACATATTATTGCAATCCTATTCTTAATGTTTGTTGACAAGATAACAGAAGTCTCCTCTTTCACACATCAATGGTATGCATTTACTTAAACTCAACATTCCCATATAGCTACTGATATTTCCTGTAGTGTGTGTCAAGTGCTAAACAGGTGTGACTTGTTACTTTAACACTACATTTACAGAAATTCAATAAAACTGTTGGGACAACAATAAACTGTGTGCAAAAATCATGTTCATATTCAACTTGTTTATACATTATTCAATCTATTTTCTAACTGCTTCAGGGTCACGGGGGAGCCCAAGTCTGTCCCAGCAAGCAACAGGCGCAAGGCAGGCTACACCCTAGAGGGGATGCCTGTTCATCACAGAGCACGAACAGACACAAACACATACACACTCACAACAGGGACAATTCTACCAGAAGCCAGTTAACCTACTCGTTTGTCTTTGGACTGTGGGAGGAAATTGGTGTACCCAGAAGAAACCCAAGCAAACATAGGGAGAACATCCAAACTCCATGCAAATCTAGGAATTGAATCCAGGGCCCCAGTGCTGTGAGGCTGCAATGCTAACCACTGTGCCATCGTGCCAGCCTTAACAAGTTTATATTCGAGGTTATAATAATTAGATAAAAGACAGATCTTATCAGTTAACTTGCCAGAAACTTTAATGATCATTATGTAATTTTCCATACATTTCCATTTACAGTGTTTATATATTACAGTATATAGTATAAGTAGATGCGGATGAAAATTAAAGAAGTGCCTCAAAACATTTTAGTACATACTTTAGCTAAAAATCATAATAAATTACAGTTGGCACCTAAACTGATTTTAAACAATTTTGTTCATAGAAGGCTGTTCTGTATAACCTACTAGTTTAGCAATGTTCTTTGCAATAAAAAATATATTTTTTAAATTGCAGTGAAATGGTACTATACAGTATAAAATATGCATTTGTTTAAGATATCGTCTACAAAGATTTGAGGTGGTAAATGATAACAATCGGGAAAAATAACCTGTTTGTAAGAATATTATGCCAAATATGTTACATAATTAATGCAAAGTACTTAGAAAATAGAAGTTTATCAAACATTCCATTGACCCTTCAGATTACTCAATGTGTGCAAAAAATCCCCCAAAATTAACCACATTATTTAAACCTTCACCATAAGAATTAAGAAATCTATTAATGTATTAATTAGCAAACCCATTTCAAGAAAAAACACAAAAAGAGATTGTTGGTTGATGCATATTTTCAATTCAGATGCACAACTGAACTTTAAGACACCACTGCCACCTCTTTAGGGGCTTGCATTTTATCAGCCAGAGCAATGCTGTTCCCTGCTGGTGATGACAGCATGCGGAAATATCTGTGTCCTCGGTGGTCAGCCTCTTCAAAAACATAACCTGGTGGGGAATCAAAACTGGCCGGACACACATGCGCTCTCTTTGGAGTGAACTCGGTACGGTACATGGTCCCATCGTCAAATGGGGCGGAGCTCCTCAAGGCCACATTCAGAGGTTTACAGCTCATGGAAGGGTGGATGTCGTGAGGAGTGAAGTGGGCTTTGAAAGTGGTCAAGCTATCGAATTTCCCAGAGGGCTTTGTCATCTCCTCCTGCTTCTTTATCATCTCCTGCTTGCGCACTTCCCATGTTTTGAAGTCTTCCTTCATGGTGGTGCTGCCTTGGAAGGGAGCAGCACTTCTCCTGCCGCGGGAGATGGGTCTGATTGGAACAAATGGCTGTATCTTGTGTTTCACGTAGTCGCAGTGGGACGTGGTGCTCAAATCCATGTGTCCATCTGGGGACACATATTCAGCAGCCTTATGGACCTGGGGCAAGCTGACTGGCCACTGCTGAAAACGATCACGGAATTCAGTGCTGCTGTTGAAGCGAGCATCTGTGACAACTCTGGAGAAATCTGGCTTGCAGCTTTTGGAAATCTCTCCTGGCAAGCCTTTGAAATCTCTCTTATGGATGGTAAGATCCTCAAAAGCCTGACTGCTGGGCTTGTACTCTTCCTTCGGTTTGACAAACTTAGATTCCAGGGGATGAGCGATGTAGGAAATTCTATTACTTGTCAGGCCATCGAAAGGAGCATCGGAGAGCCTGGTCATATTGGGGGGCTTGAAACTTTCTCGAGGAACCAAGCTCTTAGGAGCAAAATCATCTTGGAATGTTGTGGAGTTTGCAAACTTTGAGGAAGAAGGATGATAACTTAAATCTGGTTTGGCAGGCTCTCTCTTGGTTATTTCCCATGGTCGGAAATCATCTTTAGAAGAAAAAAAACAGTTTTCATCATTATATTGTACAGTAATAAGTTGCTCTATGTGAATTTACCTCGTGCGATTTTAAGTATCTGCCTGGAATTTTCGGTGTACCATTTTACTTTGCGCAAACCCCAAGTTCGAATATCCCTTATTTCAGGAAGTGTTGGCATAGCACTTGTCTGCAATTTCTGTCACATGTGTAAAGTGTTCTGAACATATTAGTGTCCATTATTGCATTGGACTTGTGCAAAAAAGTGCTATTGATAGTGATTTCCTAAAGAAAAGTGACGGTTATTAGATCATAAATAAAATGGCTCCTAACATATAAGAAATGATGAAGAGTCCAGATCAAATAAAAAATGACCTTATCCAAAATGATTAGGTCTGTGATGAGTTTAGAAGAAAAAAATAAGTGCTTGATAAGGTGCATGGAGGACTAAATAATAGTGCTGTTGGTCAGTTGTTTGGTCAACATTAATATACAACTCATACAAAAAAGAGAAGTTAGAATGCTATCAGGATGAGTGGAAGAAGTGGAACAATGACGTTTTGTCTCATCAACAACAACAATAATAATAACGTTAGAAGTGGTGGCCATGCTGAGGCTCAATCCAGTTAGTCTCGTAGGTCACTATTTTTAAAGATTGACAAAAGCTGTCAGCTTTAAATAATCACAATGGGATTGTTCTATATCTTCCAAAATAAGGTTTTCTAGTGGTGAACCAGAGCTGGAGACCCCTGCTTTATACACTTTAATTATAGACCTATAGTTTGTCGCGTCTTTTAGCTTTACTCTATTGATTGAAAATGATCCCGCTGCTGCCAAGACGATTCCTGAATAGCGCAGCTTGTGTCTTAGGTGAAAACATTATTTGCACCTTTGTATGTTGGCAGAGTGTCCAGTTTTCCTCCAGTCACATGTGTCCTCTCTCTTGGCCTCGCGAGTGCCAATGCCTGCACCTTGTATGGGTTGTAGTCCATCTTATAAGTGGTGCCAAGATCTATGTGCCCAGAGCTTGGCTTGTATTCTTCCTGCAATCGCCCTGGCCTGCGTGACACTTCGTAAGGAATGTAATCAGCTCTATAAAGAAAAAATAAAGATTAAAAAATCTTGATAACATCACATGAGAGGATTTCCCATACAGAAAAATGTAACTTGCAAATAAAAGCAGACTTTGTCTTTTGTTAAGTTTAGTTGTGCTGTATGTATAGTAAAATGCTATACATGAAAAGATGCAATAGTCTGTAAATGAGCTTGAATAAATGATCAAACAATTATACTTAAATGTTGTAGTCCCATCCATTTTTCCTCGATCAGCCTGGTAATCCTGTTTGGGTTTCATGCTGCTGGGGGGACAGAACCTTCCATACTCAGGGTACTTCTCATTGTATTCAGTGAGCAGGCACAGCTGGTTACTCTTCTCATAGAGGCCAGTGGGCTGATGTGTGCAGCGGTGGCGTCTATTAAAGTGACACACAGAGAGAGGAGGAACAGGGCCGTCGCTTGTTAAAATCACATTTTATTACAAGGCCCATCAAAGAAAATAATTCTATTGAAATGCTCTTTTTGTTTCAAAAAGACCTAGAGGAAAACGGCACTGTGCTGTAGAAGAGATTTTTAGATTTCTATTTATATACTGCAGTATGTTTAAGAGCTGTCTATGTGAAACATTTGCAATATATTAATACTTTGAAATTCTCATGAATCTTGGCTTTAGCTTACCGAACTTTTCACATATTAGGAAAGATCCGTGATGAACAGACAAATGAAAAGCCCTTTTTAGATATTGGTTCTGACTTTATGGACAGCTTTTGAAATATATATCAACACTGTATGTCCAACAAATGTTTAGAGGATAAAAATCAAGTCAATCATTTTTTAATGCAGGATTATTGTATACATGTTGTATAGATATTAGACTTTTTTAAAAATAAATACAAATTTTCCATCAGGTTTGGGTAAGTCACAGTCTTCACTGGACTCTCCCTGTGCTGTAAAGGTTGAAGACTCCAGAGGGCTCCAGTGAGCCCAAATGCTTCTGGGTTATGATTCCAGAGCATAACTCAGAATCATCCAAACACACAAGGTTGCTTTGGGACTCTGGAGTCACAGTATTATAAAGGCTCTGGGCACTTAAGAGTTTGTTTTACAATGCTGTCTTAAATGAAAAATATAGTGATTACTCAGTATTGTAACACAGTAATTGTCTTCAAGATTTACAGTGTGACTCCCTCTGCACTTAATCATTAACGAGGTTACTAACAAACAAATCACTATGCACATAACTGTTTATAGTAGCAACATTAATATACTGTACTTCCAACACCATCAAAAAAAGTTTTCAAGTGTATCTTTACATATTAATATTACCACATCATTATAAATTACATAATTACATAAAGCCAATAAATATGCTTTATTTAATATAAAACTTTTAAAGACATATTTCAAAGTTCTTTACATTATAACAAGGCACACAACAAATAATACAGTAAATTGCACAGAATAAAAAGCTAGTGTATAAAAGTGAGTTTTAAAACAGGATTTGAAAGTACTGGCTGACAGGATTCATTGTCATTCATGTCATTCCATAGCCTAGGAGCAACAGACAGAAAGCACAGTTTCTAGGGTAGGAATCTTGTAATGGCAGCTCGAAAAAGGCCAGAGCCCAGAGAGTGCCAACGATGAGTAGGTGTATAAACAGTTCACTGATGTCATCAGGAGCCAAACTGTGCAGGCCTTTAAAGTCTTTAAGGTGAGTATGAGCACTTTGAAGTGCCAATGAAGATAAATCACAAGATACAGTATATGCCCATGTGTTTAAGTTAAGCAGCTGAGGTCTGAACAGGCTGCAGACGTTATTATGTTTGGATACAGCAGCAAGATGCGCTTTATAAACAATACTTATGTCTGGAGAAGACAATTACCTGTATTATCTTTTCTGCATCAGATTGGGAGAGAATTATGGATACAATTGTTACAAAGAACTAATCCATAAGTTTTCAGTGTACACTTACTTTAGCTAACTAGCACATCCCAGTGGACTACACATTCTCAATATTGTAAGGATATTCAAACAATCTCTTATGGATAGAGATATAAAGGTGTTTTCCAGTAACACCCTATATACAGTAAGTTGATTAGTTAAAATGAACTGTATTACTTATATATGAACATGACATACTATATATAGCCTTTCACAATACATAATCAAAATAATAGCACTTTTCAATTCCAAAAATGATAATCTCTTATTTCCATTCATTGTTAGAAAGTGGCTTATTCCTGGTGTGACATCAACCCATAGTCCATCCCAGAAGCACAGAGCACAAGGCACGATCTTACTCAGGAAAGGACACCCCACAGGCAAACACACAGGGACACAGAACATGCAAACTTCCCACGGAGGGTACCCCAGCTCTACTCAAACCCAGGGCTCAAGGGTTGTGAGGCAGCAGTGCTTACTCCTGTGCCACTGTATTCTCTTATTAATGAGGCGCACAGATTGTCTGTCCAACTAGAGCCTACCTATTGATAATTAATCACAAGATTTGAAGTCCCTTTATAGAAATATATGGAGGTGGCAATAATATTCCCAACATATAGTATATAATATAACATACAGATATTAACAAAAACTACTTGCAAGAGATATCAATATCAAATAATCTAGTTAAATGGTGCAAAAATCTTAGTTGATAACATTGTCAAGAGACAGAGGGTGCATCAGCTTTTGACCCTGACCGTAATAAAAAAAATGTTGGGTTACAATACTCACCAAAAACAAGTTAATCTATTATTGCATCTGATACACAAACACCTCACCTGTACACACACAAACATTTCAAGTTCTCTTCCATTCACATTTCTTTCAGACTGCCTGAATTGCCTGATCTTATACAGAACAGCTCTTAAACAAGAAGTGAATCTAATACATCTGCACACTCAAGTATTTGTTTAAGGACTGAAATATTTGTAGTGCAGTACTGTAGCCACCCCAGCCTCCCTTTTGTATTTTTCACAACAGTGCTATGTTCCTCCTGCTTTTGTTTAATTAACAGTACACAGTACACAGGTCGACTGTATGGTAGATGGCTATTTACAGTCTATTGGTCATCCTAATAGTCTAAGAATTCCTGTACATGGTGCGTTTGGTTACTGTATAATTTTATTATGTTAAATTACTGTATGGACAGATCTATTTTCGAAACAACACACTATATTATGTCTCTTTTAACTCTGTAGCACACTTGTTAAAAGTCATCAAGAAGCAGACAAATATGGGATAGAGACCTCAGTCAGTTTATAATTTTGTAATCTTATCTAGACAACTGGAATTATTATCAGGGGTTATTATTAAAGATTTGAATATTGCTCCACCCTTTAAAAGTTTCAGATCCTATTTGCAATACACGTTACTGCAAAAATAGCAGAGAAGTGATTATTACTCAGAATGTAAGTGTGACTTCTGGATAAGCCAATCACAGAATGAAGCACTTACCCACAGTTACAGATATCACATATGCATTTTCTCTTCATTTTGTCCCCTCGTCCGCTCAGGATTTAACAGCAAGTACAAACTTTTCGCGGAGTTTCTCCTCACACCTCGCACTCAATGCACGGACATGGCAACGCCGCTGTTTCCAGGGAAGCAAAACGTCACTTAACAACCCTGGAGCGTCTTAGCAACGACGTACATCACTTTGCATACGTGAAAGGGTGAAGTTGAAAGGTTAAGCGTGGGGCTGAGACTTCCGGGATAGTAAAACAACGTGAGTTTTGTATTTTGTTGTGTTTCATATAGATTCTTAGTTCATTTAAAGGTCATTTTTAAAAAATGCCTTAGATAACTCCTTTTGAACTTATCTTGAACTATTCGTATATACTATAGATATATGTTGGCATGGGACAAGGTCGTTTATAAAGGATGTGGTTCCAAAGTGTACAAGCCTTTGGCGTTACAACTGTGCCTGTCCACAAGTTAGAAATACACAAGTGAAACACGTGGTGTTGATTAGCACTACAAGGGGAGAAAAAATAAAGGACCAAAGAAAATCAGCTGCTGACTGCAGTGTATTTATATGTAATGCTTGTGAAAATATTTGAAAACGCATTTAATTTCGGGTGTGTGTTAATCTGATCAAATGATAAACAGAATATCTTTGAAATACATTAAATACATAGTAAGAGATGGCCGTGTTTTTGTTCATAAAATGTTCGACGTGTTTAATAGTCTGCCTGAATAGAGCGCCAACAGGAAAACTTACCTGGAAAGCTCCGAGCCTAACTAGTATTAATAAATCACATTGGAACCTTTGGCGATTCTAACTAGACTGTAGATTAAGCACAAAATGTTTTACAGGCTTTGTCGTCAGCGTTCTAAAAACAAGATCTAGAACCTGTCAGCCTGAGCTGTAAATTATTTTAGAGATGTTAACTGCTTAAAGTAAGTTTATCCCCCCCCTTGCATCACTCCAGATTTTGAACTTTATAAACTTTAAAGCACTCTAATAGTCTTAATTAGTCTTTGAAACAGGCAGGTGTCTTTCATTTATATTTATATTTAAACGCAGTTCTTGTTTTAAACTCCTGAGTTATTGTTCTGTGTTTTCCAGGCAATCCGGAATGGGGCAGACCAGTTTAGACAAAATCATTGCACTTCAGAAAAAAGCGGCAAATATCAGGAATATTTGCATTTTAGCACATGTGGATCATGGTGAGCACATTTCATCAAGGCGTTTTCTAATATTACACGTACGAATAGTATTAAATGGTAAATATGATATATTTTTGGTTGGATTTATGAAGAACTGTTTACCAACGTGGAATCAGGTCTCGCCCGTCTTTAACATTACAGGACAATTTTGTGCATCTTTTGTTAGTTGAAGACTATAGCTGTCAATTCAGGGCAATTATTACTTGGTTTTGCAGCAGTCAGAGTTTTATCCTGAGAACAAAAGCTAGCAGCTTGTTGGTGTTGCATGTTTAACAACAGCAGCTGTTATTCATATTGTTTTGCAGGGAAAACAACATTAGCAGATTGCCTGGTTGCCAGCAATGGTATCATCTCTAGTCGGTTAGCAGGAAAGGTGGGTGTTGCTCGCATGTGTCTGTATTCAGGTGTCACACAATACATCTCGATGATTTCCTTTACCACCTTTGTGACAAAGGGATGCTTCCAGTATTTAGTTGTACAATGTAGGATTAAGTCTTTTGTTATGCAGAATTAGTGCATTTTGCTCTTTTGCTAATACCAGCATGTGTTTGTTGGATAATTGATTTACACATTAAATTTACAGATTAATCTTCAACTTTAATTTCTTAAATCATAGCTCAGATACTTGGATAGCAGAGAAGATGAACAGATTCGGGGAATTACAATGAAATCCAGCGCAATATCACTGCACTTTTCCAGTGGTAAGTCTCAAGCAAGAGGTCTTTTCAAGTCAAGTCAAGTTCAAGTTTATTGTCATTATACTCATATACAGGTATATAGTATAACGAAATGCTATTTATTTGTATAATAAAAGAAAGACAGAGACAATAAGCAGTGTGCAAAAACAACAAAAGGCAATGTGCAAAACAACATAAATGTAACAGGTAATGTGGAAAACAACATCAGATGTGCAAAAACATGCATCAAATCCCTTGTACACAGTCCTTAGACATGACTGTAATCAATACTTACAGTCAGTTAATCCAGTTTCCACCACTTTGATTTAGAAGACTCTTCTCTCTTCCATGTACAAAGTATTTAATCTTTGATCAAAACTGATCTAGTTTGCTCTGTCTTGCTTTCAGATGGAAAAGACTACCTCATCAACCTGATTGATTCTCCCGGTCATGTGGACTTTTCCTCTGAGGTGTCGACAGCAGTCCGGCTGTGTGATGGGGCCATTGTAATTGTGGACGCTGTGGAAGGAGTGTGTCCTCAGGTAGGACGGTTTCTGCTCTTCTCGTTCATTTGCATTGAAAACTGGAGCGCACAGTGTAGCCTTTCTTAAATTCCTCAGAAGGGGTTGTTTTTTTTTCAATTAAAAATATGTGGTGTGGAACTTGATGAAAAGGTTAACAGTGTTTTTTTACACATCAACATGATTGGAGGCATTTTCTTGAAGCACAGTTTAATAATGACTAAACAGCGGTTGAAATGCCATGACAACAGTGAGGTGCGTGGTTTTGTCCTGAAGCTACGATTAGTGAACTTCAAAAGCTAATAATGTGCTGTCTGTCCATTCGAGGCTGATGTTGCCACCATATTCACCATTGTGAAATTAATATTTAGGGAAGGTTCCCTGCCTGAGCTGAATTGTGCATGCATTGTTTTTTTACACAAATGCTTTAACTTAAGATTACCTTTCATTGTTACCTCCCTGAAGTAAATTAGCAACTGCAACAAGATAATTAAACAAGACAGGAAAGCTGCCTACTGGAGCTATGCTGTCTTGTGTGACTTATCTGTTATTCTGTGTGTAGTGAGTGCTGAAATAGTCTAAAGAGTTTTCCTTGCTAATGTCAGATTAGCTGGCTTTCATGGGAGTCGAAACAGAATAAAATATTTATTAAAGGTTGTCTGAACAGATACCTTATAAATTCCAGTGACAAATAAATTACAAAAGAGCAATTACCTTTATCATCATAATAGTTCAGCAGCTGAAACACAGCTGTGTTTATGTTTGTCTGGGTTGCCATTATATAAAAAAGCTATTAGTTTGATATTTGCATGCAAAGGAAAGACATTGATGATAGCATGATTAATTGACTTGTTTGTGTTTATTCTAGACACAAGCCGTGTTACGACAAGCCTGGCTGGAAAACATCCGTCCTGTGTTAGTGATCAATAAAATCGACAGACTGATAACTGAACTGAAACTAACCTCCCAGGAGGCCTATACTCACCTTCAGAAAATGTTGGAACAGGTGAGATGGGTGTTTCCAAGGAACATGACAGAGTGTGCCCATAGCTTCATGGCATTTTGAATGTTTTTGTGTCCTTCAGTAGTTTTTACTATTCAATTAGTATTTTATTAGACGAAGCAGAAAATATTTTGCTCTTCCTTAAATTTCAACTGAAGAAGAGACTTTGACCCTGAAGACATTAAAGAAAGAAGATTTACAAACTTCTAGTGAAGTTGCTTGTTTTCTTTAAATTTGCCCAAATTTATACGCTTCTGAATTATTCTAGTTCACCAACTCTGAGTAAGGATGGATGAAACATCCATCCATTTTGAAAGCGCTTCTTCCAATTCAGATACATGGAGGAACAGGGGTCTATCATTGCAAGCAACAGGCGCAAGGCCCTGTGATGCCAGTCCATCACCGGGCAGACATAGACACAAACAGACACGCACAGACTCAGTCCAGTAGCCAGTTAACCCACCAGTATGTCTTTGTACTGTGGGAGGAAACCAGAGCAACCAGAGAAAACCCACTGACACGGGGAGAACTTAAAAAATGCCACTCAGATAACACGTCAGGAGTTGAACCCAGGGCCGGGATGCTAACAGCGCAGCAATGCTAACCGCTGCTCCATTTCAGACATTTATGCTGCAAGCATGTAGATCGTTAAGACCATTTTTTATCATCAGGTGAATGCAGTGACTGGGGCTCTGTTCACCTCCAAAGTCCTGAAAGAAAGAGCAGAAAAGACGGATGCCCTGGGGCCCTGTGAAAGTGTGAGTGGAGAGCAGGTGTATGACTGGAGCTCTGGCCTGGACGAGTCAGATGACTCCCAACTCTACTTCTCCCCTGACCAGGGCAACGTGGTCTTCGCCAGTGCCGTAGATGGATGGGGCTTCAGGTAAGATGTCCTTCACCTCGGGCCTGCAGGAATGCAGAGCAGTGTCAGCTGGCTTCAGGATGATTAAAAGTGAACCTATTTCAGTTTCTTGCTCTTTGCAAGATTCTCCACTAGGTGGAGCCCAAGACTTTGAATTTCTTTTGTTCGCATTGTAAAATCTGTGACACCGGGGCAGTATTTGGTCTCATGGAAAGAAACATCTGTACATGTGATTTAATATTAAATTATAACAAAGGATCTATTAAAATAAAAAAAACTAATTAAAATTAAACCGTTATTAGTCTATGTCAGAGTGTGGCACAGTGGTGCAGCCACTAGTATTATAGTCTCCCAGCACTTGGGCCCTGGGTTTAATTCCAGACCGGGGGAGCTGTCTGTGTGAGGTTTGTATGTTCTCTCTGTCGATTGTCTGGGATTTTTCCCTGTCTGGGTGCTCTGGTTTCTCCTACTGTCCAAAAACAGACTGGTGGCAATGGGCTTCTGAGAAAAGTGGCCCTGATATAAAAGTGTGCATGTTGGTGTTTGTGTCTGACGGCCCAGTGATGGACTGGTGTCTCATCGAGGGTGTACACTGCCTTGTGCCCATTAGGCTATAGGTCCCCTATGACCCTGGCAGTCTTTGTCAGCTGTTATGAAATTCCTCAAGACAGTGAAGGTTTAAAATTGTGATTTAAAGCCAGGTGATAATGATGTTTCTTGGTTTTGTTCACCTTTTGATGTTTTGGGGAAAATTCAAAAGAAATACTGAAACATTTCAGGGGAAAATAAATGTCCAAACATTCAGCTTGCCTGTTCTTGTCCAATAATTTATTCACCAAAGTTTGGAAATATAAATGTGACTGTACATAAAACAATGTGTTATCTGTGGAGAAATGGATTTTCTAGTTCTTTAATTACACATAGGGGCACATAATTTAAAAGTCTGCAAAAAGAAACCAAACCATAGAAGGAGGTGAGTAAATTGGGAGAGATACACCATTATATCCTGAGAAGAGTTAATCACTCTTTGTTAACTTTGGGCAGTACTGTTGAAAAATAATTCTGGATGAAGCATCTTAGCTCTATATCATGATTTGTTATAATTTTAAAAATGGGCTTTTGAAATAACTTGAAACATTTATACTTATGTAATGTCTGTTTATATATCTTGGTGTAACAGGAGTATTACTGTCAACATAATTGTAATAAGCTGTGTCAGTTCTGTAATTATCAGGCTGTGGAAGACAGAGGAGCAGTAAACCACTCTAACAAAGAAAAAAGTAAATTATCCCCAGGCAACAGCAACACAAGTTTTAATCCCATGGCACTCACTCCTCATTTTTAGGTTCCAAACCATGGAAAAAAGGCTGCAAAGCCCTTAAAAAAATAATTTGTCTAATGAATCATTTTTTCACTGTTGTCTGTCTTTACTGTAGACTCCTTTTTCCCTGCTCTATGAATTAAAAAGCTTGATAGACAGGTGCATCTGAGATCAGCACGATACACTGCAGGTTTTATGTTTTTGTTTTCCTTTTGAAAGGAAAAGGACAAATCAGTTGAATGACACCTATTTGTCAAGTTAGAAGAACTGTTTTTTTTTAGTTGATGAACATTGAGTTTCATGTTAAAAATATGCCCATATAGTGCTTCCTTTTATTTGGAGTGATGATGGTGTGTTAATGGTTCTCAAGTGCAGACTAATTTGCATTGAGATTACATTTTCTTTTATTTCAGCCCAGCAATAAGTAATTTGCAGTCTACAGCGGGTACTTCAGATCAGGTCAGTGCAGGGCCAGCAGAGGGCTTAATTCTGACTGGCGCTGAAGTGACGTTGCATAATGACCCTTCTAGAAAGAGGCTGGCCAGCAGTGGTCATGCTGTATTATTTCAGGTATTTGCTAGCTATGAAGAGAACAAATAGTCCTTGTTTAAAGGACCCTCTGTCATTGCATTAACTAAAACCCTTTAGCAAATTTGACTATTGGAACAGGGCTGTGGAGTAAAAAGTGACATTTAATGTACCTCAAAAACAGGAAAACAAATGACACAACTTTTACAAGCATTTATCTCTTTGTAGTGCTATTCTTTTTGTCTGTATGAAAGAATGTAAGCCTTCATAGAAAAGTGTGAATGTTTATGGATTTTTTCAGTCAGTTTTGGATATTTCAGACTAATCTCAAAATTGATGAAAAACAACATAAAGCTTCTAATAGTGAGGAGATGTGATATGTGGTGACATAGAGCTAGGAGAAATTAAAAAATGTTTCAGATATGCTGATAGTATTCTTCGGAAAAACTCTGATTACAGCAGATATACCAGTTGTGCTTATTTCAAAACCTTAGAACACTCCAGCTTCCTCAAATATTTTGTGTGATTACTGAAATTCTAAAGCACTGTGCTTTTTTTTGCTGTATCCATGATTTGTTTGCCCACAAAAATAATTGTATTTTATGATCTGCTCTTTATACAGTATTTGTTTCTTTATTGTGTGACTTAATCATGAGAATGACCTTAAACTGTTTGACTGGAAGTTAGAATTTTGAAATTCATGAAAGGAAAAACATTTCCCACCCTTTCTAATGCCTCTTCCTCAGATAATGCCAGTATTTCCTTTAGTATGGTTTTGCTCCAGTGAATAGTTGTCCCTCTGTATACCGCCTTCCTTATAATGCCACCCCAGCGCACCACCGGTATCAGTGCCGCTTGAATGACTTGGTTGAATAACGAAAGAATAATGATATCTATATTCATGGTGAAATGTGAGTACATATTTTGAGCTGTGCACGCCTAAGAAAAGTGTTTTAAAATGCAGCCTTTGCAGCACAGGCTTGGTTACTCCAATATTACATGTACAACTAATTAACTAAACCTTGATCAGAATGGTACAGTAATTGCAGTATAAACTGAGAGGCTTTCAAAATTCAACAAAAGATTTTGGATCCAATACTCATTTGTTGCATTTTTATCCTTTCTCTGTATATATTGAATATAATCTGTTACAGCTGAAATATTGGAATATCTTTCCTTTTCAGTTGTATTGCCCACCTTGTGGGTGAAATGCTTTAATTTATTTTGCAGTATTTTCTTATTGTGTATATTATGTATGGTGCATATGTACATACACACCCTTGCACGCGAAGAAGGCTCCACTGCCAAAATGTTGTTTCTCTTTTCAGCATGGAATAAACCTTTATCTGTTCCATTTCATACATACTGTATAGTGCACTATTCAGAAATACTGGGCAGGAAGAGCTGAAAGTTGTTCACTTGTGAGAAATTTCTATTGTTATGTTACTCATCACATTGTTTCTTGAGTCACCCCCAAAACATCCCAGGTTCTCCCTCTTTAATCTTCAGCTTTTCCTAAGCCAGACATTCAGAGCCGTTAGTGTCAGAAGCACTGCCCTTTCTCTCATTGTCTTGCCAAGGGAGGCTCAGAGACACTGTACCTGACAAGGGCAACAGTCCTTGTTCTTGTTCCACAGCTGTGGTTGGACAGTAGATTGACAACGTGCACGCAGAGGCTGAGGTCCGGTTGTTTAAACTCTGAAGTCGTTTGTTCAATGTACGCATGCACAGGACACTTGCACTTGTCTAATGTCACTTTGTATTGGTTTGCAGTGTTCTTTGCTGGCGTGATATATCTCAGTGGTGCTAAGGTGCTTCATTGAGCTGCTATATCCCTCTTGTAGGGCTACCTCTAACTGTTAAAGATTAATGTAGGACACGTTCACCTTATTCTTTCAGAGCAGAGACGTTCAGTTTCCATCTGTCACTTTTCCCAACATGGACATTCTCTTATAATGCTGTGCATAGAACCTAATGCCAGAGCATACTGCTTTGTGGTGCTATACTTCAGCACCTTTTACAGGTGCCTTCATTATTCAGAGGTAATAACATTTCTGGCTTAGCATAGTGAACAGTTAATGCCATTGTTTATTTCCAGCATCCAGCAGTTTGCCCAGCTGTACAGTCAGAAAATGGGGATCAAGACTGAAGTGCTGCTCAAAACCCTGTGGGGAGATTTTTACCTCAATGCCAAAGCAAAGAAGATCATGAAGGGAGCGCAGGTAACGCTCACTGACTGGCTTTTTGTCCTCTGTGTCGGTGGGGCAGGAGGATTCACTGCACAGCCCTGATTGCTTTGTGAGCCCTTTAGAGGAATAAGTAAAGAGGACCATCCAAGAAATGAAAATGAGTATCCAAGAAAGAAAACTCCTCTGCTTAAAATTAACTTTTGTGTTTGAATCAAAGAAAATAAACTCAAAATATCATTACGTCTGTGCATGTGTAAGGCAGATGGAGGAAGCCTGCAGCCAAGGCACCAGGGTTATCAACAGTACCGTGGGCTCTTCAACAGCCATCTTTATGTGCAGAGCACTACTTATACCCTGCTGCCTCCTGTCATGACAGTAGAGCACTTCTAGGAATTTCTGGTCCATAGAGAAGAGCACCATGTGCTGGTCCACGAGCATTACTGACAGCTGCAGTCGCGATTTCCTCGAGGTCTTCCATCCCTGTACTGACTAAGCCCAGCCTCACTATAATCTCTTCAAGTGTCAAGGTGGAATAGCCGCTGACATCCTGAGGGGAAGTCATGTATGGGCAGACAAAATTATTGCTTCTCTAAATGTCTCATTAAAAGTCAGTAAGATAAAAAAAAACATTCGGAGAACCTTAGTCGGGAACAGCAGGTAAAAGGTCTTTATTGGAAAGTGTTCAGAGTTAAATTTATTTTATTTCATTATAGGTCAGACTGATGCAGACTGACATTTAGTGCAGATGACTGCTCTAATATAACATTTGGTCATTTCCAAATATCAGAACTATGCTTTTATTTGGTTTTCCATTTAAAACTGAAAAAAGATGCAAGATTGAAAGGATAATAGTGTTCCAAAACATTTTTCTTTCAACAGATGTACATCAAAACAGATTTAAGTACATAAACATGTAAGATAAATAAAGTTATTGGAAATTAAAGCTGTATAACTTTCCCTTTTGAAAGATATTTGCATTCTCCTGCCCATTTGCTTTTCATTACCAAGTTTCCAGCAGTGCGAACACTCTTCTTAATGGGTGGTCTGAAATTACTGAAGATAAAAATGAATGATGTTTATATACACAACACCATTGTGCATCCAGTTCTGTTTCTAATGGTCTGTTAAGTGCACTGCAGCGGAAATAGCACAGCTAATGGCTACTACATCTTTCACCCCTTTGAGTTCACCTGAGTGATTTTTGAATGGACAGACGATAGTCGCAGTGTGCTGTCAATGCCCCTGTGTTTTGTGGAAGTGTTTAATGTGTCCTCGAGTACATGGTTTTTAAAACTGCTGATAAGACTTTAAATCACCCTTAACTGCCACATACAGCACACATATTGAAACAAAATGAAAAAGTTGGAATGGTGCTGCTGGTTGTCCACCAGGCTCTGTATTTTATTGCTCTGCCTGTCTTACGCTGTGAGAGAGTAGAGACACAGGGTGATGAAGAAGTGTTTTGACAGCCATGATCCTACATTAACCCACCAACCTTTCCAACGGCCATTTATTACATTAATAAATGCAGGAGGAAAGGCTTTGCCTGTGTAACGGAGTCCACTTAGAAACATTAACATCTATCTGTTCAGCAATAGAAGTGGATATTTAAACATAAGCAGAGTGATATTGTGACCCCTTCTAATCAGTAGCTGTGGAGTAGATGATGACTAGCTGGCTTAGATGTTCTTGTCTCTGGAGGCTCCACATTACTAGCATAGCAGTTACACTTCATTCTGTGATTAGATATGAGCTCTTGGGGGCTGTTGCATTCTCTATAAAATCAGACATAATGTGTGTCAAAAGTGCCTTGGCTCACAGGCAGATCATGTTTGCTGGAAAGAAGGCAAAAGAAGTGTTTCAGGTTAATGTAATGGTGGTCCTTTACATGTCTATGCCACAGGAGAGAGACAGTTAGCCTTTGGTTCTTGTGTGCCTTTCATCCGTGTGAAGGAGCCATCTGATATGCCACTTCATTGACGAGCCAACAAGGATCCATGCGTAGTGTGCGTGAAATTCTCAAAGCAATCGATCACTAAATTCGACTCCCGCCAGACTGTCATAGGTTAGATCTGGAAAATTTCCATTTAGGAAATGCATGCTTTGCACACTGCTTCAGCGCCATGCTCAAAAGAAAGACCTTCTGGCTTCCTGTACAGCCAGCTGGACCACATATGAGGAGACAATGTCCAACAAGGCAGCAAGATTTGTGGGAAACAGCAGTGGAAAGTGCCTGGGTATGCCAAACTGAAGACTTGTGAAATTGCCCCCTAAAAAGAATCTCTAAATGGCAGTATGCAAGAGTTGTCTGGTTCTAATCTTCCAAAGCAGTAAACGTACAATGCAGAGGCTTGAGTAACAGACCCCCAGAAATAAATATAATCGGAAAGGTAATTAAAGAATTTCATTTGCTGAGATGCACTTAAGCTTTGTGTGGTATGTGTGAGATATTAATGCTTCTCTTTTTTGTTGTTCAGTCAAAAGGGAAAAAGCCCCTATTTGTTCAACTTGTCCTGGACAACATTTGGAGTTTATATGATGCTGTTGTTACCAGAAGGTATTTTGTGTTTATTTTTTTTTTTATTTTTCTGATCTAGAAAAAGACAAGTGCATTTATTGTTGGGAAGAGTAGGGCAATTCTCATCAATTCTTTCTTTATGCTTTGCAGAGACAAAGATAAAATTGACAAGATGGTGAACTCCCTGGGTTTGAAAGTATCTGCGAGAGACTCGAGGCACACTGACCCCAGAGTGCTCCTCAGTGCCATCTGCAGTCAGTGGCTTCCTGTCTCACAGGCTGTGCTCAGTATCCTTTGTCACTAGGCTGAAGACAGCAGGACACTGGGCAAATACTTACAAAGCTAACCTGTCTTCTGAAAGGCATGACTTTTGTTTCACATCTGTCTTTACTTGAAAGGGGGGTATTGGGCGTGGGCGAATAGAGATGTCTTGAAAAGTACTCTGTGTGCGCACAGAGCTGTGAATAATAATTTGACACAGGCTTTTATTCAAGGTTTGCAGAAAACCTAGGAAGGAAAAATGGCACCACCATCTTAGACCACATGACCTACATTTGTAATCCCTGTCCAAAACACAGGGCTCAAGGTGGCTCAGTAAATTACTGTGTGTGATGCATACCTTTACAGAGAGTTTGTGTCAAAGAACACTATCCAGCAGAAATCCTGGCAATATTTCCTTTTCCTTAACCACTGTACCTCCTCCCCTTTGTATGTATCAGAGTGAAATAATTTCATGTTGCAGCATTGGTTGCATAATTGGTTTTGCTCCAGAAGATTGTAAGATTTTTCAGTTTTGCTTGTAATCATGGATTGCTTTGCAGCTCCTCCCAACCAGGCTTAAGTTTTTTAAAACAAATTAGGATTTGATTGCATTTTAAAGAAGATACATGAAAAGGTGTGCTTTCCTCCTTAACACTGTGAAACAGCCATGGTGTGTAACAAGCTCCCCAGTCCTCTAGACATCCCTGCGGAAAGGGTGGAAAAGCTAATGTGTGTTGGAGTGAGAACGTTCAATTCTCTACCTGAGAAAACCCAAGAGCTCAAAAGAGGTGAGTGAATGGTGTAATTAGAAAAAATGGCCTTCATTCCTCACCTTTAATTTCACCTTGCTGTCTAAGATTCATTTATTTGTAGCCTTGGATGCATTCCAGCTGATATTCTTATTGAAAGTAGTTTTTCATTTAAATAAGTTTAAAGCAAGCTAGCTTGGCAGCTTTGCACTCAAGGGATCGACATCGAGGTCTATATTAGTTCAGGTCTTTATTAGTGCTTTATTACAGAGCATGCTCCATGGTTGGGCCATTAAAAAAAAGCTGACAACATCTTGTTTGAGGACTTATTTAGAGAGTATAAGACTTGGCTCAACCCTTATGACTTGCTTCAGGGGATGAGTGTCATGCTCTGTTTTTGCTAAGGTATTTATGTTACCTAAAAAGTGTTACTTAATAAGACCTGGAATAGCTCCCCTCTCTACCAAAATGAAAGGCCATGTTAAAAAATTTAAGTAGGTGGCAGTGGAAAGGGATATTGGCAGCTGCTATATCTTTCCAGCTCCCAGTTCAAAATTCAGACATTTACACAGGATATCAGATCTGCACAAGCTGTTTCAGAAAACAGGACCAGATTGTGCTGGCTCTGTCCTCTGATCCCATTTTCAGCCTATTCTATGGGTTATGAGGTCCCCATTGCCAAATTTGCGGACTGACCTGGGAAGTTCTGCTTTTTGGCTAGACTAAATAATAATGTTTTTTGAATAATGTAGCTGAAAAGATGACAGCAGGTTTCCTTCATTCTCAGTATTATTTTTTTACAGAAAGGTGTCCAGCTAGTAATATTTCAGTCAAGAAAGCCTATGTTCATATAATAGAATCCTATCCTTTCAGCTGGCTGAAACATGTTTTTAATTGAATAAATCTGTAGTTGAATAAAGCTGTGAATTAAGATGTGAGATCCTCTACATTTAAATGACTAACTAAATCAATTATTTAAAGTAATCATTCAGGCACGTTTTGTCGGAATTCATTAAATAAAAACTTTGTGGGTATTTCAAATGAATCAGACTAAGAATATTGTGTATTGTGTGTCCAAGAAGTGTTTCACTCACCTTGCTCACATATTATTATTCCAGATTTTCTGGAAGTCTAAAAGTTGTGAAAAAATGGTTAGAAGTAGGAACACCTGGTACTCATATTGCCTATCTTTATAACAGAGTAACTGAATCTGTCCACAAAATGTGGATGGCACACACTAACAAAAATGAAAACAAAATGTTTCATTTGTAATTTATGCCTTAAATTCTGCATTTCGTCTTGATTTGGTTTTCCTTTAGTCATTATCTAGCCATTTTCCTGCTTTTGTAGTTCTTTATATAGACCTAAATGTTTTCTAAACCTACAATGTTATCACAGGCAATTCTCCATTTACACAGCAGATGTGTTCCTGAACAATACTGCAGAACTCACTACAGAAGGTGTAAATTAAGAACTAACTTTTCATTAGAAAGCTTTTCAATAGGGAGAACGCATTCTTGATCCAATCCCAAGTAGAGAGTCGAAATGCCAAATTAAAACAATTACATTTATTCAAGTAACATATATCATTTTGCTTAAAGTTATTTTTAAACTAAATGTCTGCTGATATTTAGCATTATTATGTAAATGTGAGAGCAGGACTGTAGTTTGTGGTGGCTGCTGAATGGTGTGGTGAATGCACAAGTCATGTGAATCTGGGCAGCACAGCTATCTTTGGTTATTTTGCTGCCAGTGAGCCTTTGAAATGCAACATAAAGTCTAAACATAACAAATCAGTTTTTCCTTAAGTTTTTAACTAATTATTAGTTTTGTTTATTGAATGTTCAGTTTCCTGTGACTGGCGGTGCCCGCATGTGGTCAAGTGAGGACTAGTAGTAACTAGTAAGAAATGGTATACTGTATGTTCTAGAGGGGCATTAAACCAAAAGCATGCATGTCAATTGAGAACTGACTGTACGTCTGTTTTACTTTTGCTTTGTTAGCATTCCTGGAGTGTAAGAGCGAGGGCGACACGCCAGTTATTGTGTTTGTCTCCAAGATGTTTGCTGTTGACACAAAGGGATTGCCACAAAACAAGAAGAGGTTAGTAAGAAAGGTGTTTCTTGCCCTCTCCGCTTTCAGGCCACTGTTTTCTTCCTGACATGTAGATGTTTTAATATATTCTTGAATGTTCAATTTTAAAGCTGCCTGATTTGTGTGCTAACCCATGAGCCAGTGGCAGAGTGCGGATTGAGCCCTAACAGTGCAAGCTAATCCAGCTGGGATTCCCCGGCTGCTGGTGCACTGCTTGCAGAGTGTGGGGGATTGTGTGGGCTGCTCTTGAGAATGGTTACAAACGAGAGCAGGCCATTCAGACCATCCTGGCTTGGTAGTTTGTAGCTTATTGATCCAAGGATCACATCCAGTTGTGTCTTCAAAGAGGCCGGGGTTCCAGACTTACCCAACTCTTTGGGTAGAAAATTGCGTCCTGTTTGCAGTTTCAAATACATCTCCATTAAGTTTTCACTTGTGTCCACTGGCTTGTGCTTCACTGGGTCTTCTGTCAGGTATTGTATTCAGATGGAGCAAAATGGTGAAAGTTTGTGTCCATGTTACACACACCACCGTATTAAGACCTATTTTCTAGAACTGAAGAAGCAGAGATGTGTTTTGAGGCTGTTGAAGTTTGTGAGGGGTTGGTTGAAGCTGAGGTTGAAGCTGCTGAGCCCCTGTTCTCCTTGGAAATGGACTTGTTAAGCTCTGCCTGCCACACAACCCGGTCATTACTTTCTCCTATCTTTTTGGTCAGAGATCCATGTGCTAATAATTGTAGTAATTAATATAGTTAGTATTATAGTTATGTAGCTGTTGAAATTGAAGTTAAATAAGATAAACTATGCCTCGTCCTACAGAATACTTCACCAGGCTAGTCTGTATGGCAGTGTGGCAAGGAGGAGCTGGCTATTAAAAATAAACTATCCGTCTCAAAGTCTGCATAGAGCTTGCAACAAAGCACCTCAGTGATCATGCAAGATGTGGCAGTACTCTTTGCCATCAGATGAGATGAAATCTGAAATATCTGGTCTAAATACCATGTTATTGTTTGTTGCAAACCCAGCACATCACAATCTCCCAGCCAACAACATCCCTACAGTCAAACATGGTGGCAGCAAAATCATGCTGTTGGGATCCCTTTCCTCAGGAAGGAATGGAAAGCTTGTGAGGATTGAAGGATAAATGGACGGGGTGAAGTGTGAGCAAATACTAGAGTCAAATCAGTTTCACACTAAAGACTTAAAACTAGGACAAGAAATCGCCTTTTGGAAGGACAATGACTCAAAGCTCAAGGCCACTGGAGATGAAGAATGAGAAAGTGAATGTCCTTGAGTGGCTCAGTCAAAGTCCTGGCCTGAATCCCATTGAGAACCTGTAAAAAAACAGGTGAGCGTTCAGGTTTAAATAAAATATTAACTTAAAAAAATATATGCATCATTTTGTAAATTCACAAAATGGGACACTGGTCTGAACACTTCTGCGAGGCACCGTATGTTAGTTGTCTGTGGAACTTTTACATGGATTTAGGTACAAATGTAGAAGTTAGTATTTTGTCAGAAACAGTGATGCAGTGATGACAAAGTTACCACTTCATCTTAAAAGTGGATCTGTGCTGAGGCCTGGTCACTACAGGAATGGGAGACCTTCAGAGACAGCGAGGTTGCTGCTGTAAATGGTATTGTAGACCAGTAGGTGTCGCTCCTCACTTAGGACCAGACTTTCCTCCCCAATGACCCAGTATGGCAACTGGGGACACAGTTGTAGGAAGTGCCATCCTTCAGATGATACGTTAAAGTCCTAACTTCTTGATCTCTAAAGATCACATGGTACTGTTTGGAAGAGAAAGGAAGTTAACTCAGGTGTTTTAGCTACATTCCAGTGCTTGCTCAGGCTTGCCTGTGTGCTGTTAATATAGCTGGCGAAATGCCTTCTCCCTGTTTCCACTTGATCTGCTGTGCAGTGCCTCTACTGGTGTAATGGAGGCTGCACTTTAGAGGTGAGTGAAGTGGATACCCTCCTGTTTGGAAAGCAATTTGAATTCCTTTGGGATGGAGAGCACTATACAAATGCAACCATCAATCCATTTTCTAACCACGTTATCTGATAGTCGGCTGCGGGGAATCCAGAGACTGTCCCGGCAAGCAATGGACACAAGGCAGGATACCCCCTGTACAGAACACCAGTCCATTGTAGGGCACACACAGACAGAAACACAGACACAAACACACTTGTTTTTAGACTGTTGAAGGAAACATAAAACCTAAAGGAAACCCTCATGAGCTCAGGGAGAACATACAAACGCCACACAGACAGAAAACGAGGAACTGATCCCAGGACTGCAGTGCTGCAAAGGCAACAATGATAACCACTGTGCCACCATGCGTCCCACCAATGCAATCGCATATAAAATACATTTTGTGCAGTAAGAAAATAAAACATTCCCAAATACAAGAGATCCCTGCTCATACAGTGGCTCCTGTTTTTTCTCTTATTTGTTCCAGCTATGCGTGGGCCACACTGGAAAACTTTTGTTAAAATTTTAGATCACATGTCTATCAACAAAGCACACAAGCACTCTCGCCTTCATCAGTGTTAACGCTGCTGTTTTATGACTGGAATGCAGGTATTCAGACACTAGATGGAGCACTCTACATAAGTAGGTGACCTGTAATCCAGAATAGACGTGTGTTGGTGTGTTATTGGTAAGGAAAAGTAGTGGTTTGACAACTGTCAGAGTTGCACTGCATTCTTTCCCAAGTGCATAAAGAATATGTGACTGTTTTTTCTTGTGTGCCTTTGCTGTGCTTCTTAATCTATAAATTCCTCTGTATCTGCATAAAGTAATGTGTGTTTTTTATAATTGAAGTGGAAACGTACACTTTAAACATTTTAGATCCATTTGTCTCCCGAATATCATCCTCCGTTCTTTTGGGAAAAAAAAAGCTCAGGAGCTTTGCCATGATGAAAAAAAAACATCTTAAATAATGGCTTCAAAATACTTTGCTGTTCAAATCAGATTAAAAGCTGAATGTGTTTTGCATGAAACAAGTAGGCCTACTGACGCTCTGGGTTCAATTCCTGGGGTGCTGTCTGTGTGGAGTTTGCATGTTATCCCTGTGTTCCTCGGGGTGCTCTGGTTTCCTTCCACCGTCCAAAGACATACTGGTAGGTTAAGTGGCTTCCGTACAGTTTGGCCCTGCTGTGAGTGTGTGTTAGCCTGTGTCAGTGTGTTCGCCTGCAATGGACAGGCGTCCCGTCCAGGGTGTACTCTCCCATGATGGACTCAGGGCCACTGTGACCCTGAATTAGATAAGCAGTTATTGAAAGTGATTTATTGTGATCACAGTTCAACAATGTTTGAAAAGAGAAATATATCTACACCTGTCCTTCTCTAGAGGAAGATCTTGAGTGGATCATTTAAATAAGGGTGTGTAGAAAAGTCTCCACACCCTTATTGAAATTTAAGCTTTTGTTAATGTAAAGGCTGAAATCAAGACAAATCATGGCTTTTTTCACCTTTAATAAGATCTTGTAATCATCAGTATCAAACCAAATGGATCATTCTTAGGAAAAATGGTTAAAATTATTTGACTCGCATGCACTCTATATTGCACTGGCTCTCGTTGAAAGTTGGAGGACATTAAAGGTTTCTTTCTCAGGTATAAGGCACTAAATAATTATTTGAAGGTCTTATCTTGTGAAAAGAATCCTGTGCTTCATTTGAGATCTGCTGATTCAGACCTTCTGACTCAGGCAAAGACCAGGCTCCCCACGTTCAGCAAAAGAGCCTCTCATGTGCAGCCCCACATCATATCCTTCAGAGATTCTGCAATTTTTTAAAAACAATTTCTTCAAGACTACTCTTTTGTCTAATGCTTTTAATTTGTCATTTAGTTTTACTCTCAAGTTTACTGTGTCTATGTGCCTGGCTTTTTTTCTCTTTTGCCTTACTTCTGTTACACGTTTTATAAGTGCGCTGTTGTGTACTGCTTTGTGTTTCCTGAAAAGCGCTCGTAAATAAAATGGTATTATTAAACATATAGCCCTTTGTTCTATACATTTTGTTTTTTTTTCAGCCTTTTCCATTTCTACATGAATAGAAACATAAGAAAGGCTTGAGGAACTGTAGGGTACAGGTGTTTCTCTCAACAGCACTGAACAGCCTTTTTTTGAAGGAAGTATAATACAGTTTCACATATCATGTACTGCCTTTTAGCCAGATAAATCTCATCATGTCAGCATCTTTGTTGTTAGTTGTTCAGTGCTGTGCGGCTTGTGCTGAAACACGCTAATCTGATTAAGAAGTAAAATGTGATTTCTTACTTGAAAGGGTGGGGTAAGACTACAGTACTTTTATTATTGGAAGCATATGACAGCAGGAAGCCTAGATGACAGTCTGCTGTAATTATTGTTTTCTGCATTGTTTTAATTCGTTGGCCTGTGCTGCATGTGTTGATAACAATAGAGTCGGTGATTTTTTTCTGTGTACTGTGGTTCCGAGGGTGTTTGGGGATAGCGCCTAAAGCTAATTAAAATATTTTTTCTCTTGTTAAATCTGTAAGAGGTTGCAGGTTTGCATTCCTTCACTTTAATGTAATGTAGTGCATTCATTAATCTAAATCATTTATTTAATGATTGCTGGACCTTTAGGTGGCGCTCTTCTCTCTCAACAAGAGTACCAGAAAAGCTATATAGGAGTTTTTCTAATTAAGCAGACATGTCAGTTGAGAATAAGTCTTACTTTACTGAGGGCCAGCAGACCTTTTTATACAGCAGGGTGTAGGGGAGGTTTGAGTGAAGTACTATTCACATCCCTTCTTAGAAGGTTTCCATTCCCTTATGTTTAGGCTTTGCTCTGTGGTCTCCTGCCTCTATATACTGTATTTTGAATCATGCCTGACAGGTAGCTGACGTTTTCTTTGACCTGAGATGATCTGTTCTGATTCCACCTCAGCTCTCATTAGTGAAACCCGCAAAAATTCCCCGACAGCCACTTCCATCTCATGCAGTCCAGCTGTAATTTCCAGTCCTTAGTGGGAGAGGAGAAG